CTGTTTAATTAAAAAATAAATAAATAAACTGTTAGTTTTATTCATTCTACTGGAACGCTAGCGCCTCTGCCTTGAGGAGGTGGACGTTGACAGCCACGACACAGTTATTTTTGACTAATGTGGCTGTTATCGTACACTACCCTACAATTGTAATTTTTTATGATTCCAATAAATACATTTAATTTTAATATTACAGTTTTATCTTCATTATATTGAAAAGTTAGCCAAGAATTAACAATGGTTTCCAAGGAAAGAGGCGTAAGCCAGAGATGCTAGAATTACAATACCTTCCATCCTGTGGCCTAGATTAATAAGTTATGTTTAGGTACTTCGACTACAAATTAAGTAAATACATAAAAATTGTGTTCCACAAAAAAAAACTGACTTCAATTATGGCAAAATGAATTATTTTCATTTCAGAACTAAACTACCAATCTAAATCCTTAGTAGATTAATCGTAATAGTGGCCCATCTACTAACCTGTCTTCATCCTCACTAATCAACATTCGCTGGTGTCCTGTCAGCGTATACCGATAGCGCAGGTGTTGCCATTTAGTGAAGTGTACCAGCTCTCAATATTTAGGGAAACAATATTCCCTAGCAAAAAAAAAACATTCGATCCATTAAAAAAATACGTACGGGCGCGACGGCGGTGATGTTATAGTCGGCTACGACCCGGGATTGTAACTTGCGTGGGTGGTGGTTGGGGTAATGAGGACAAAGTAAGTTCTGTACGTACGATCCTAGCGTAGAATGGATTGCCAAGCGTGATATTTACTGGCTAAACCCTCTAAGAAGGAGCCTTATGTTCAGCTAAAGAGAGTTAGCGACGGAAATGGCATTCATATATGCAACAATAAAAAAAAAGAAGTCCTAGAAACATTACCTCATTTTTAATGTTGGTTAACGAAAGGAACTTTTATGAACTTGATATTTTCATTGTATGACACGAGTTCGGGTTGTTTTCCGTCCAGAATTAAATTAAGAAAGTTTTAACAAGCGCACAAGACCGAGCACCGTCTGACACCAGTAGTTTTAGTAAAACGCCATGCAAAGTATGCAATTAATTAAACTAACTACCCATAGAGTCTGGTCTTTAGTATATTTTTGCTATCATTATCGCATATTTAAAAAAAAAAAGTTTAATTAACTCTTCGCCTAAAGCACGTCATTAACGATATAATTATTTTTTACAACGCAGGGGGCAAATGAGCATGCACCTCACCTGATGGTAAATGACTACGGCCGCCCATGATCACCCACAACACCAACGGCATTGCAGGTGTACTGCCGGCCTTTTAAAAAGGAATATGCTCTTTTCTTGAAGGTTATGATGTCGTATCGGTTCGAAAATACTGCTTGTACTGAAATAAATATTTTTAAAAGTGTGGACGAATAATCTTCATGTAGCCAAATCAGAACTTATAGGGGGGGGGGGGGAAGAAACTGTTAGTTATGAGGATCTAACAGCCCAATTGTTAGCAATAAAACCTATCAGATTTACCTCCACGCAGATCTACTGTAAACCATCTTGGTTAATTCTTCATCAATTCATCACTATGGGCCAATTGACCTATTTCATCCTCACCTATCATCTCTCGTTGGTGCTCTGCCGAACCTCACAAACAGCACAGACAGTGGGGTGGGTAGCGCATAGCAACACTAACGTTGGGGTAATGAGTACATAGTTACCGGAAAATGTAACAGATAGTAATTAGGCATAGACAATAGAATAACAGAAACAAAAGACAGATGGTAAAATATAATAAATTGGAAAGAACTGAACCGAACTGATAAAAGATGAAGAATGAAAGACAATGAATAGAATGAAAGAGAGAAGAATGGAAAGAAAAAAACAGGAAAGCTGACGACCCACCTGATGGAAAGTGATAACCGTCGCCTATAAACATGAGCAGTACCATAGACGTAACAGAGTATACTGTTTCATTCATGATACGCCCCATGCGTTACCATTGCTGAGAACTCATGTGTTTTTTCTCTGTATCCTCTAAATTCACTGATATATTTCTTAATAGGCAATAGATAGGAAGAACCTGCGATCCTACACAAAGTAGGATAAAAAATTGGTACTCCGGCTGCGTATACTATACTATAAAGAAATCACACATACTTATTATCTCTCTAGTAGCAGTTACCAGAGGGAGACTTTGTACAAAAGTCGATTGCTTGGGTACCTCTGTCCCATTCGTGTTTCAACCGTGAAGCAGTTGTGTTTGCATGGCTGTGTTTCGGTTTGAAGGGTGGGATATGGCGTGAATTTACTGGGTACAGAGGAATAACATCTGAGTCCTCAGGAATGGCAACGCATGGGGGGTATCATGGGCGAAACAGTATACTCTGTTATGTCCATGGTACTGCTCATGTCTATAGGCGACAGTTACCACTTTCCATCAGATGGGCCGTCAGCTTGTTTGCCATTCTAGGTTGTATAAAAAAAAATTAAAAAATTGCAAGTATAAACGTAATATATGAGTTAATACCAACGAAACTGCAGTTTAAGTGATTTAGAAGAGCAATTCCACTCAAAGTGTAGGCGTCTTGGGCGATAATTAAAATCACGGTGAGTTGATTACGGGGATTACTACGAGAAACAATCTCGACCTGGTTGAACGTGAGTATTAACAGACGTATTTATAGTTATAATAGATGATGTAATTCAAGTAGGTTTGATAAAATGGATGATAATTCAATAGTAATCCCACCTCATCATAATCAGAGCGAGACTTGGTATAAAAGTCGTTTGCTTGGGTACCTCTGTCCCATTGATAGATAGATAGATAATTTATTTGCATTACCCTCAGCACACAAATTACAATACAAACATACACATAATACACAGTAAAAGAGATAAAAGAAATAAAAATAAAGCAACATTGGTGTTTCTACCGTGAAGCAGTTATGTTTGCATGGCTCTGTTTCGGTTTGAAGGGTGGGATGTAGTGTGAATTTACAGATTACAGAGGCATAACACTTTAGTTCTCAGGAATGGCAACGCATGGGGGGTATCATGGACGAAATAGTATACTCTGTTATGTCCATGGGCGACGATTACCACTTTCCATAAAGTGGGCCGTCAGCTTGTTTGCCATTCTAAATTGCAAGAAAAATCTGCACTATCGGTATACGCTGGTGAAGAATCAGTGAACGATGACAGGTGGGAAAGTGATTAGTTTACTCAGGTTCGTTGGTCTATCATGACAAATTCATCGATAATTAATGACTATAGTTCTCAGGGAGACTACAGGGAGTCCATGGTACTGCTCATGTCTATAGGCGACGGTTACCACTTCCCATCAGGTGGAGCCTTCAGCTTGTTTGCCATACTACGTTGTATTAAAAAAAAAACACGTTAGACCAGTGAAATAAGATAAATAAGGAAACAGCGAAAGAGGTTTGAATCGAAGCGTTTTGCGTTCCATTATTATTGCCCACTCCAATGAGATACAGTCGTGATTTATATGCATGTGTATCTTTCAGTCCTGTTAGATGATATCGTAATATTGTTAGCGAGTGGTCAGTCCATAAAAGGTTTATTCCGCACCGGCGAACTTTAATGGATCGTGTTAACGAACCAGTAGAGCGGAGGGTATTCTAAACATACTAAAAATTTGCCTTCCAAATATTATGACCGGATTTTACATGCCAGGTATATCCTATTTTTATTTATATGTCATTAACATATCAGCCATTATCTGCTGCATTTTTGAATATGCAGCCATTGTTGAATATGGCCTATATTACTCTTATCTCCTTATTTTTTTCAATGAGTGATAATGATATGGTAACCCCGTCTGCGCTATCGGTATACACTGGCGAGACACCAGTGATAGATGACTGATGAGGATGAAAGCAGGTCAGTTAGCCCATTCTGACGAATTCAACTGGAATTAGCCACGATGGTTTCCAGGGTGAACCACGTGGAGGTCGACCTGACAGGGTATATTGCTAGTAATAGGGCTATTTGACCCCATTACTAACAATCCCTTTCCCCCCGGCCTATAGACCTGAACAGCGCTATGAACGTCACAGAAATACACTGTGATACATCTATTAGATCTCATGTGGAAGGAGAGCAAGTGATGATTGGGGCAACTAGTCCCCATTGTTTTTTTTTTAATGGGTGAAGATGGAATGGTTACCCCGCATGCGATATTGGTATACACTGGCGAGGTACCAGTGAAGGGTGATAAGTGAGATGAAGACAAGTCAGTTGGTCCATAGTAACTAATTGAATAAGAATCAACTACTATGGTTTCCAGGGAGAACCACGTGAAGATCGATCTGATAGGGTGTATTGCTAGCAATGGGACTGTTAAAACTCATCACTGACAATCACTTTCCCCCAGTCCTCATTATTAGCAAATGCTGTCAGGTCGATCTTCTCGCAGTCCACCCTAGAAACCATCGTGTTTATTTCAGGTAAATTCATCGCTATGGGTTTAACCTAACTTGCCTTTTCAATCACACTATCTCTCACTATTGCCTGTGTATACCGATATCGCAGGCGGAGTCACTATTTCATATTCACCCATTAAAAATAATACATCTCAACAGTCGCATTGCTAGCAATATACCCTATCAGAACGACCTCCACATGGTCCACCTAGAAACTACAGTGGTTAATTCCTGATGAATTCATCTTCATAATAAAGTGGTAACCAGATGATGTCTATATCTACATTAAAAAATAATTGAGACTCCTTAGTCTTATAAAAAGCAACAAAAACTAAAACAATAAATTTTCAAAATTTTGCCTATCTGTCTTCTATCTTGATATAGAAGTTTCAAAATCGCAGTTAGGTTTTGATGATGTTTTAAAAGAGTTGCTGTTGCCCATTTCTCGACCAATAAGTTTCTATAGCCACCTTTTACAGCTTCCACAACTTTCCTGTGTTAAGCCTTTACCTATCCTATGCCAGGATCACATGGCAACATTGTTTTATAAAGGGTCATAATTATGTGAGAGAGTAATCAATAAATCTAATACAACAAAATTTATTATTATCTAAAACAATAACAACAAAGTATAAATTAACCTATTTCTTACTATTTCTAGATAACATATTTCCCTTAGGTTTAAGTCTACTCTCAATATATTTCTGTTTCTCTTCCGCTTCGGCTTTCAGCAAATTCTGATGCCTCTCCTTAGCAAAGTCGAGCTCTGCACACATTTCTACAATTTGTGCAGCATATTCCCTCTGTTTCAGCATTCTGAGTTTTTGCTTGTGCTACAAAAAAAATTCAAAATATTAAACATTCTTATGTTTAAATTTGAATATTCAAAAATAGAACACATTCAGATAAACAATGGATTTCCAAACTATGATGCATGCAAGACAACTATTTTATATTGTTCATCAACAGATACATTGCAGATGGGATTTTCCATTTATGAATTTTATTTATTCAGCACAATATGTATAAAACTTTTTACATGAAATTGAATAATAACTTTTGGGATTCTAATATTATTGAAGTGAAAGTGAGTTTTTTTTTGGTGAGTGAAAATGGTATGGTAACCCCTGCGCTAACGAGATACGTTGGCGGATCACCAGTGAAAGGTGATAGTTGAAAATGAAAACAGGCCAGTTAGCCCATTATGATGAATTCATCAGGAATTAACTATGATAGTTTCCAGGGAGAACCACGAGGAGGTCGACCTGGTTGGGTATATTGCTAGCAATAAGATTCTCAGTCCCCATTACTAACAATCCCTTTCCCCCCTAAATGTGTGAAAGTGAGTTTGTTTATATCTCTTGGCTCCTTAACGGTTTAACCGATCACTATGAAATTTTGTATACACATACTGTGGGATGGAGAACTTAAGCTACTTTTTATTTTGATCAGTAAAGATTTCTAAATCATATGAATAGTCATGGGTAAAAACTATTATTTTTAATATTATAAACTTTCTAATTTATTAAATTAAAAATATTATTAATGAGAAAGTTTATGAGGATGGATGGATGCACCTTCGCACAAAAACTACTAAACAGATTTGAATTAAATTTTGTATATGTGTAGGTTATATCCTTAGATTATATAGATAGAGTGTCTCCTTATCTTTATTAAAAACAGATCAACTTTTTTATCCATGTGTGTGTGAATAGGGTTACCATAATGTACATTTATTATTCATTACATGGAAGAAATTATATTGTAACAGAGAATAATGATTTGTATTGCTGCTTATCTTTAACAAATATTTTGATTTACATCCAAGTATAGACTTATTTTTTGTTTTAAAATCATAAAAAATATGGCCTCTATTTTAATTAATAGATGTAGGTTAATTTGTAGCCAATATGAGCATATGTATATTTAAAAATTATAAGAAAAATAGTTCCAAATTCCAATTTAAAAAATCTATTTGATATGGGTATAATTTAGTTTAATTACTTCCAACAATAATAAATGGCGCATTTTTTTTTATTTAAAAAAGATGTCTAACTGAGTCAACCAAATGGCAATTTAGGTAAATGTTGACATGTTTTTTGTCCCTCTCAAACACTCACTGCTCTATCTATATAACCTAAGGTTATATAAATTAAAAATAAAGTATCCTGTGTGCTAACTCAGGATATATGATTCATGCAGGCAGAACTGTGTGATACAACTAGAGTAAAACAAACTTTAAATACATGTTTATAAGCGCTATATTCTTACAAGTAACGGTGTTGGTCTCCCATCCAAGAATGTGTAGTCTGGTCCATCTGTGAGGATACCCTCTGCATTACGGTTTGCCGGGAGCCCCTGAGATACTCTCCATTGCTTAGTGTCCCGTACCAAGGTACTGCTAAATGACCGAACAGCTACTGAAATTTAAAAGAATTTTTCATTGTGATTTATATTTATTTTATTTAGAACAACAATTTTACAAGCATTCTTAAAACATACAGAAGTACATACAAACATTTTTATTATTATAAAACCAACACTGTTCTAAAGAAATTACTATTGCTTTGTTACTTTAATTATACAATTATTTACAGTCACATAAAACATATATTACTTTTTTTTTTATTTATCATGTGGAATGGACTGGCACTCATTAATAAAAAAAAATAATGATGATAATAATGATTAAAAAACAAAAGGTAGACACATTATGAGTAAAAATACATTGAAAATTAAACGTATATATGCAACTAATTACCACCACTATAATATTTATTACATACACTTCCATACAAATAACAAACTAGTGTTTTAATTCTCCATTTCTTTTAAATTATTAAAAAATGTGCTTAATGTGTTAGTACCACAGCTGTATATGCTTTAATTGAATTAAATGTTTTAGAATAGTCTCATTATTGTGAAATAATAAATAGTAAACAATAAAAGAGACAATAACAGACGATAATCCATCAGGTGGGTTGTCAGCTTGTTTGCCATTCTAAGTTGTATAAAAAAAAAAGATGTTCAGACGCAATGCTCACATTAAAATAAAGAAGTAGTTATTAAGAATAAATTTTCAGTTTTATGTTTTCCCTCTTAATAAAAAAAAAAAATACATAATTGTATATTGAATTATATTTTGCTCATTTGACAATTCAAGAAGTATTTAATTGATTGATCGCACAGGGTTTCGTCAGTAAACAGTATGTCTTGGGTCTAGTCAAGTCGGCCACCCCTAGTATATACTATATGATTGGGGAATGTATATTACGAAATAAAGAAAATGTTTGCATAGCATATATAGTCATAGTCGTAGAATATTAACGGATCTTTATATGTAATATTTATCAGATCCGTCAGTATTCTACGACTATGACGATATATAGCACAGCGGTTATAGGTTATAATTGAAAAAGAATTACCGTTATATGGAATCCTTAAGATTAAACTCATGTTGTACAATTAAAAGTCAGTAATTCAGGGAAATTATTCACAATCGATATAACAAGTGAATTATAAAAATAAATAACAGTGCTACAAGATGAATTAAAGAAGGACGTGAACTACTGTCGCTTTTGACTTTTAACAAAGTCAACTGTCAACGTCACTTGACATTAGAGATTAGATGAGTTGTTGAGATTGAGAATTCATTTTAGCAAGCTTCACTCATACTCATTCAATTCCAAAATCACAATTCATGATTACTGCAGTATTGCCAGATTAAACTTTTTTTCATTTTTTTTTTGGCTAAAAATTTGTAAATTTTCATTTCATTTAGTTCAACAGGCATTTTTGAAAATTTTTTGGTGTAAGGAATTTTTTTATTCGAGAATTTTAGTTTATTTAAACTCTATGCATATTCTTAGAGATCTTTAAGATAATCTTATATATTTATATATGTTATGATGGCGGATAAACGTAGTTGTCAGTTGCCGGTTAATCGTTGCTGCGCTATAAATATGGTAGACGATCGAAGATGGCTATAACCAATAGCCGATTACATCGACGACAAATGACTCGACCGCAGCTATTCTTTGCATTGCCTTTATATAGCTATGTATCGGTAGAGTTACCCACTGCTATTAAGATCAGTGTATATTCTCAATATATTTATCGTCACTTGAAGTAACTTAGTAATATATTACGAAAACCGACAAGATTTTATAATTGGATTGAATGGAGCAAAGGAAATTACAATATGTTATCTTTTAGTAGACGCTTTAACAAATATTATTGATAAAAAAATTTGAATTCTACTTTCAATAGGTATACAATATAAAAAATTAATTAAGTGTAACCTCAACAAAGATAAAACATTCGAATTTGGAAGAAATTGAAAATATCACGTTGCAATACTACTGTTGCATTTATCATTCATTCATTCACTCAATACATGACAACAAGAACGAATCGGTTTTGTTTGTCGAAAAGAAAATTGTCTACTCGTGTACGCGCAATAAATAGTGATACCCATATTTTTGATGTTATTGTGTATATAATATAAATTGTCAAAATTGTGTAAAGCTTACATTTGCAGGATCAGTGTAACTACTATCTTACTAAAACAGGTATTTATAATTATATTCTTATTTGTCATGTCCAAAAGGATCGATCATTTGTTGCGCCATAAGTCTAGTACTTTCTGCAATACACTTTCATTTCTTTTTCGGTAGGGACAATTATCAACACATTATTATTTCGTTTATTATTATTATTTGTAGCTATTGTAGATAAATATGTACATAATTCTTAATGTTGAGGTGACTCATATCCATGTTTAGTAGATCGATAACAATTACCAAAATAGAAATTACCGTACGCAAATATCCTTCAATGCAGTGAATAAATATATTTTTATTTGTAATACCTCATTTTAATGTATTATTTATTTTATAGATATCTGCAAATATCTGTATATTCAGCATAACAGCAATAGTTAACTGATATTTTTATAAAAATTAATTTAATAAACCTATAAAATCCTACATAAAATATTGCCTATGTTCAAGCTAGGTCTCTTATAGAGTAGGCACACAGACTAAGTAACTCTATAAACTGCTAAACACTTATTTAAATCTCTTAAATAATTGTTAATATTTAACCCACTTTCATCATCCACCATACATCATGATTATAATGTAATTTTACTTACTTACTGACCCATTTCCTTTTATTTATAACTTATATGTCTTTACTGAATAACTAGTGAATAATGACTATCACAAGTTCTACTATAGTATATTCATATTGACTTTACTCATACATTTAAATTTAGTGCTGTACATCCAGTTTTGAACTCTATAGATGCCCTTATTCATGAGCACAGCTCATAACTGTGATGCTTAACAGATACTCTTATATAAAATATATGAATAAATCCTTACTAATATTATCAATGTGGAAGTAAGTTTGTTTGTTTTGTTACCTTATAGAACCTTAATGACAACCAATCACTATAAAATTTGGTGTGCACATCCTAAGTGGGATGGGGAAGGATAAAGGCTCCTTTTGTATATCCTGGTCAATAAATATATCCCAGTTACATAGACAAAGTGACAGATAGTAAAATATAGATTAATATAATAGAATGACCAATGTGTGTAACATTATCACTTAAGTTATCTGTATCAAGTTTCATATACATATGTGATGTATTACATTTCAAATTTCATATTTACATTGTAATAAATAATATATAAATGTAATCTGATTCATATAATTGAAACTTTATTGATTTAAATACACTTAAATGTTTATTTCTATATTTTGGAGAATGACAATATAATAAAAAAATATGTAATATGTACATTTTAGAGACATGAATAAAGCCTACCTACCATTTCTTTTTTTTTTTTCATATTTTAGATGAAGTTAAAAGAATAAAAATGTTAATTAATAAATATTATTTCTATTCTCTGTTTGTTTGATGTTTCAGTAATAATAGCAATAAGGCATTTCTATTCAGAATAATATAATTTGAAATATATGGTAGGCTTTATGGCAAATAAGACAATCATTGATCTATAAGCCTGGTTTTTGAATTATAAAAAACTCTTAAGTTTGTTTTTGGAAGTACATCATGAAATTATTGTATAATTGAAATGATGTAATATAAAATCTATATATAATCTGAATGATAAAATATAAAATTAATAATTGGTTATAAAGTTTATAATATAAAAATTATATTTAAGTAGGTAAGTATTAATCACAATTTATCATACCAACTATTGAAAATGAACATTGCATATATTGATAACAACTGCTAGATTAGATTAGATTATGAGGCCTATAGGAGTTCTGAAATATCTTTGCTTAACAAAAAAAAAAAGTTTAAAAATGTTATTATGAAATTTCTTTGTATCTTACCATAATATCATTGTAAGGAATAACCACTGATACCAAAGTCTATGAGTAACACAGATGAGGCTTCCTATTTTAAATTCTTAAAAAAAAAGTACATATTCCATAATATCTGAGTCAAAAGTGAGTTTTTAAAACTTATTTGCATGTGATACTAATGAAAGTGGATAAAAAATCTTATTGAATATTCACCTTTGTCCACTACTTCATTTTGGAAGTAGACATCCACTTTTAGATGGTGCATGGAGATAAAACTTAAATCAGTTTTTTTTATTTTTATGTGAAGTTGGAACAAACATACAAACAGACTTAAAAATTATGATTATTATAGTTTTGGTTCCTTACTTATTTTACCCTCATGTACAGACATCAATTTAGTTATAAATTTTATTACATTCATAAGACTTGATTGAATAATTTTACTTTACCCTCATGAATTATTATTATATATATAAGTATATAATATTTATTATGACTAACATGACTTCCTGTACTTATACAATTGTATCATTGCATTTATTAATTGTCTTGCTTATTCCCTATATTGTATAATGCAAATATATCCTTTAAAGCAGGTATCATAAAATTTTATTCTGAAAATCCCTCTTCATTGAGCCAATTGTATATATCTGTAGTATATATCTATGTATTTGTTGTTTATGTATGTATGTTAATATATGTATGTATATATGTATTTATGTGTGTCAGTTTTTATTTATTTATGTATTAATGTTATAATATTATTTATGTACTTTTATTATTTACATATGTAGGTATATAGAGCTGTTTTTATTGAATTATATATTAAATTTTTTACTGGGTATTATTTAGTTTATCTTTAATTGTACAGTTATTATCCTTGTACATTCTAGTTTTTTTTTCTCTTCGGCTTCTCAAAGGTTAACTGTAAGAGATCCTTTTATAGGATAAGTCCACCATTGTACACTAAATCATTAAAATATTCATTGTGAGTTATGTACAATAAAGATTTTAGAATACAATATAATATACTTATTCATTCATTTATTAATTCATTAAATGATAGGTAGTTTATCTAACTATCTATCACTTAATGAATTGATTTGATTGATTAATTGAACTTTATTTGAGCCATTTATGACACACGTAAATTGACAAATGAGTTTATACAATCAAATAAGTGTTAATATGAAATATCTTTCAATGTTTCAAATTTCATTAAAATCTCAGCCATTTAATTGATAGAGCAACAAAATCACATTTATAATATTGGTAGGGTAGAATAAAGAAAAAGGTTTTCAATAATTTATTGTCTCTATCTATGCCTTTTTATCTTTTTTTTCTTGTAAATTGACTTTGTGTATAATTTTTTAACGTATATTTATTTTTCCAGTTTATTGCTGCACTCCGTGTAAGTTTAATCCGTAAAAACGGCTTCAGAAAAACTAAACACCACTGACCAGCCGAACTACAATACAATGTGTATGTATGTCCCTTTACTTTACTAAACTTTTTGTTTGTTTCTACAGTGTACTCACTCTGAAGATGTGGCAAAACTCGGTGGTCTATCCTGGTGGAGGTCTTTTTTTTAATAATATTTATAATTGTTACACTGTTCTGTTTGTTCATTTGGATGATATAAGACAATTTATTCTTCCATTTTGCTATTTATACACTTGTGTATTTAATTATGTTAATAGTCATGGTTGTTGGCACTTAGTCCAACTTTGTGTACATATTGATATTAAAAAAAAAAAAGGTTTTATAATAAATACCTGACCAGTTTCGCCCTTTAGCGTTTTTTTTTAATGAGTGACGATCATATGATACCTCGCTTACGCTAATGGTATACGCTGGCGGGGCACCAGTGAAGGATGATAGGTGAGGATGAAATGGCAGGTAATTTAGCTCATCGTGATGAATACACCTAGAATGCAGCATGATGGTTTCCAGGGGGACCACGTAGAGGTCGACCTGCCTTATATTGCTAGCAATGGGACTGGTATTCTCCATTACTATCTCTTATTCGTATTCATCACGATGGACCAATTGACTTGCTTTCATTCTCACCTATCATCCCTTATTGGTGCCCCACCAGCGCATACCGATATCGCAGACGGAATTACCATTCCATTACCGTCCATAAAAAAAAAACAGCTGGAAATTAATACAAACAATATACCGAAATAATAATATACCGAAATATCAGATATTTATTGTAAAACCATTTTTTTTTTTTAAGATTATAAATGTTGTCTATTAATATCTTTATGTTTAATTGATTTAATAAATAATATGTACATATAAATATAATTTATTAGCATGACTCAGTCTGTTGACTGACAACCGATGACCTTGAATGATGCGATCAATGTCATTCTGAATATGAATGAAAGAGACAAAACATTCGCGTCACTGTCTGACGTCGGCCCTCAAAAGGTACAAATGAAATCATTTTTAGGAGGTGAACAGCTTATTTTCTGTCATACAAATTTACTTATAACAAGTTTTGGAGAGACAGCTGATTGATAATGTAATTTTAAGCACTTTCCTGAAGCAGAAATATTCAGGCATTAGTTTTTTTTTTAATGGGTGATAATGAAATGGTAACCCCACCCGCGCTATCGGTATACACCGGCGGGCCACCAGTGAAGGATGATAGGTGAGGATGAAGCAGGTCAGTTAGCCCATCGTGACGAATTCAACAAGAATTGTTCACGATGGTTTCGAGGGGGAACCACGTGGAGACCGACCTGATAAGGCATATATTGCTAGCAATGGGGCTCTCAAACACCATTGCTAACAATCCCTTTCCCCCCTCAGGCATTAGTTAGAGTACTAAATGTTTAGTGCCATAATTTTGCCCTGTTATAATAAAATTATATTAAGTTAAAAATATCCGTAAAAAAAACAAATTCCAATATATATTTTTTTATACATGGTTCGTTAAGAAAAATTACTAGGTATGTGTTTAAGATTAGAATAAGTAATAAATATTTTATTTTAAATATGTCTGCAGTCTTATATCATTCAATTTGAATCTATAGATATTGCACTACACAATCACTCTGTCTGTGAACCAATCATCGACACGACACAATGCAGCACTACTTATCAAATGAATTTTCATTAGATACATTACAAAAACATTCGTGTTTCAACCGTGAAGCAGTCGTGTTTGCATGGCTGTGTTTCGGTTTGAAGGGTGGGATATGGCGTGAATTTACAAGGTACAGAGGAATAACACCTAAGTCCTCAGGAATAACAACACATGGGGGGTATTATGGGCAAAACAGTATACTCTGTTATGTCCATGGTACTGCTCATGTCTATAGGCGACTGTTACCACTTTCCATCAGGTGGGCCGTCAGCTTGTTTGCCATTCTAAGATGTATAAAAAAAAAAAACAGATTTTGCGCTGAATGTATATATAAATTATAATCGTATAATCAAAACCTAAAAATGAAATTAAGAGTACTCTTAAATAGTTTTTTTTTTATTATTCTCGCCACTTGAATCGAGAGTCTGCCGATTAAAACTTGCAACAAACTCGGGAATCTATCAGGGAGACCTGCACGTGGTCCTCCCCAGAAACCATCGTGCTAAATTCCACGTGTATTCATCACGATGGGCTAACTGATCTGACTTTTCATTCTCACCTATCATCCCTTACTGGTGCCCCCCAGCATATACCGTTAGCGCAGGCGGGATGGCCATTCCATTATCATCCATTAATAAAAAAAAAATACATACATAATATAGTAGAGAAACACTGATAATTTTAGAGGTATCTAATGTGATGTGATGTAATGTACACGTGCGAAGCCGGGGCGTAGATGATAATGGTAACATTCCATTATCATCCATTAAAAAATAACCTAGACTTTTACTTTGTAATCTCTTTTTAATCCTATCTCGAAAATATCCTCCTTAGGACCGTGACCCGTAGACAGACACTCTTCGTTTTGTATTTATAGGATTTTATTTATCTTTAAGTTTAGATAAGGTAACATGTGATATTTCGATTTATGAAGAAATTTCATGTATAATCGAGGGAAAGTTACAAGTGTGCGTTATGCCTATATTATTAGTCATACTTTAGCAGTGATTGTAACAAACATATAGGTATATAAACATATATATAAAAAATAAATTATATTCTACTGCAGTGATTCTCAACCTGCAAGTAATTTTTTTTTTTTTTTGTTGCGGCACATATTTAACGATTTCAAAATTTGGCGGCACACAAAGAACAAGATAAAAATTATTTACTCACTACAACACACTGCATAAATAGTTTATGACAACAATTTTAAATATATGCAAAATTTGGCGGCACACTTTTAAAATTTGGCGGCACACAAAAGTGCCGCGGCACAGTGGTTGAGAATCACTGTTCTACTGAATTAGGTGTTATTTTACGGAAGTCCATATCTTTGGTTAGTCGAGCAGTCAGTTGTTGGCAGTCATACGCATACTAATGGTAGCGGAATTAAACAAAATAATTGTAATCAACTAACCAGTAAAATGTACATAGTATTACCGTATTAAATGCTACGTTAATGTTTCATTCATTGACTAGGATTCCCACATTACATGTAATGAAGAGGAAATTGCTTACTAGGAATTGTCCCAGAATTATCATGTTTTTTTTTTTAATGGGATTTAAATGAAATAAGCCTTTATTAGCACTAAGAACCGGCAACTAATAAGGAAAAAAGTTCTTGAGGAGCGGTCTCATGCAGGAAAACAACAGTGTAAGACGACCAGCCGCTAAATAGAATGACAACTTCTATTAAGTGGGGGATCGTCGATGCATTGCAGGGAGTTAGTGGATGCAGGTGTCTCAGAACCGTTCTTTATGGTAGTCTATGGAGGAGGCCTATCTTCAGCAGTGGGCAGATAACGGCTGATATGATGATATCTGGCCATCAGACTCCATTACTAACAAACCCTCCCACCCTAGGTCTTTAGTGCTAACGATACCCTCTCAGATCGACTTCCACGTTCCAGTTCCCCTAGAAACCATCCTGGTTAGTTCCTGATAACTAAACCATCGCTAAGAATGGGCATCCAATTGCTCGTAGTTGTAGTATCATCTCTTACCTCGCCAAATAGAGAGAACGGGATGCTCCACAATAGATGTGGTTTTTAAATCTGCAAATAATCCTGATAACCTCGCCACGAGGGGCTCACTGTCTGTAGTACGGTATTCTCCTCTGTATTACACAATATTATTTGCAATGCCGTGTGGTCCCGCCATAGAATGGACCACCCCTTCTTTTCCCGTGGGTGTCATAAGAGGCGACTAAGGGAACTTAATAGTCGAGATATGGGTCAGCAGCGTCCCTCTTAAAACATCACCAAAGACTAACTGCAGTTGCCAAACATGGCAACTACTGGTAAAACCTCTCTTAGTGGACAGTTAACAGCTGATATGTTGATGATATTTATTTCTATTTACATTCCACACACAATTCCAAATCTACTCAAAATATTTTCACACAATTATATGCCTTATGTAAAATTACAATAATAAAAACAAGTAAATTCGACGTTACGTCGAGACGTTGCGAACTGCCAAGGTCGATCTCTAATTGTGTTTGTTAGACAGGTAGCTATGCACTCACAGTACTGAGCGTGAATTCAACGATCTAAATTTTAAACCAGCCGGTTGGCGAGCCAGCCCGCGGCATCTTGAGAGTGTTGGCATCTTGAGAGTGTTAAACTAAGGAACCTTATGATACAGGGATAGGCAACGTTGTCCCTTTTTAAACGTTAACCAAAGCCAAACTGCTGATGCTATTTCGCCTATCAAGCATGGCAACTACTGGTAATCCCCCCCCCCTCTTTATGGGGGAGGGGACAGCTGATACCAATTGCATTTGAGGTCGTCTCTCCATCTAGTAGGGTGTCTGTCGCCTGTCACCCTACCAGTTTTGAAATTTAGGTCATAAAACGCCACTTTCGTACGTCCTCAAACGCATTCTTGACAGCATCTCCCCTCTCATTCTTCTAAACAGTTTAACATCCTATCAATCATCAGTATATCTCGAGTGTACACAGTCAGTACATAGAGTGCTCTCGACTGAAGTGTACGTTTGTTTATACACTAGTGATAATTGAAACGTGCTTATTTAACACATTTAGTGTGATCACGGTGTGCCAATTCTTGTGGTGAATAGTGGATTGAAAATGGCAGGTACCCTTGCTAATAATAATTATTATTCAACGCTATAACAATACACAATTGTAATCAACAAAAAAAAAATTTTTTTTTTCTTTTTTATGGCTACATTACACAATAGCCTGTAATCGATAAAGTTTATTCAAATATTAACAGTATTAGTTTTGGAACGATTGAAGGAAACTAAATCTTTTCGAATTTCGAACCGTGTTGGTCCCAAATTAATTTTGTAACCGTTGGTTTTTTTTTACGAAGCAAAAAATTGCTACTAATAAAAAATTCTTGAAAACACAATTCTACGTTTCAAACTTATATTTTTTTTAAGTCTAATATGTCTACGAAATATCTCGTATATCGAAGTTGGTGTTTTTACCAAAAAAATAATAATAAAAATAATTTATTTGCTTCCGTACGAGTGTTTATTTGCCTTAGGTTATTATATACAGTAACGAAAGACGACCGGCGAACGATCACTCATAATCTCATTACTTAAAGGAAACCTCAATATCGCACATTGCAACTGTTCGCAGAATTGTATCATCAATTATGCTAGTAACGTAACTGTACCATGCGTTTACCGGCTCCATCTCTCGGGTATAAATTGTACTAGCGACACGACCCGGCTTCGCACAGATAGATTGGTAGATCTCAAATTTTTTGGCCCATGTTCATCACATCGTCATATTAGCCCTTAACTGTCTTCTACTGAACATAATAACTTTAAAACTTATTAAAACTTGAATGACAACCATGCATGGTGTCAGTTGATCATGCACGGACTTTTTAATAACCATGTAATTTTAGACATAATACATTTAAATAATAACACATAATCTTAACAGAGATTTAAAACAGTAATTGTTGAGTTTCTTGCGGGCTCGTCACAACAGATAACGACTTTCCGAACCCTGCAGTAGATTAAAAAAAATATGATTTAAAAGTGCTTGTAAACAAGTCTTTTTGAATAATGATATTTGAAATTGAATTTTAAGCCTCAAATTGTAATACTTGAATAATAAGATACATGGTAGAAAGTGCGAATCGCAAACACCGATGACAGGTCTTATTAGAAGTGGCAACTTCCGCTAGCCTGTATTTCTGTTTATAACCGAATCCTGCCAGTATCAGTCATGATAATATTGATATCATTAGATATTATACATGACCATGATAACTAAATTGTTACTAAGCGCACGAAATTTTATTTATTAGGTGCCCATTAGACGATCAATTATTACCTTTTAGCGCCGTCATACAGTGTTGCCACTCTCTAACCTCAAAATTATGATAGTCAATAGTAGATCAGGAAAATCTAATAATTTTATATTATTTTATTACTTTATCGAACTTTTATTTGAAGAAAAATTGTAAAACATAGAAAATACGGGACTTTGGTTTATCATTAAATATTTATTTTATAATTGCTGTAAATTATTTCAACGTCTATGTACGGAAGATTGTCATGGCCAGTGAGTACATTGAATAATGAGTTTAAAATAAATTCCCTCTCTTGTTTTGGCATTCGTTGACTATACATTATTATCCAGTAATAATCAATCTTCATCAGCCTTTAACTGTCCACTGCTGAACATAAGCATCCCCTTTTAGGGTTTTGCTAGAAGTTGCCGAGCTTGGCAGGCGGATTGGCTACCGCAATCAGGCTTTGGAAATGTTTTAAGAGGGACGCTGCTAAACATCCTCTGGAAAGGAAGGGGTGGCCTATTCTATGCCGGGACCACACGGCCAAAAATAATAAATATTACATATTAATTAATTATCTAACTAATAATTATTAACAAAAATCACTAGCGGTTAAACAATATTTACAAAATTCTACAATTCCTAATTCAAATTTCAAATTTTTTAATCCAATGTGTTATATAAAATATCTTCCTTTATTCTATCGACCAGTCACATTTCACACGACTAAATTGTCTATTTTCCTGATTTAAAAAATCTATCTTAATCCTTACTAATGTCACAAATTAAAAAAAAATTGTTTCTTAACGCCACAATTTTAAGTAATCACAATCACTATTGGCTGCTAGTCAAATAGAGTAATCGATATGGTAGTGTTAAACAACGCAATGTGATACAGCAAAAACATCGGTCAAGGATAACGTTGTGTCTCATCCAAACCATTTTTATGTATACAGTAATATTGAATAATAATTGTAGAGTCTGCACTGCGGTATCTCTGAATCTTGTAGGTATTTAAGTAGATACTAGCTTTTTACCCGCGACTTTGACCGCGTAACCGTATTTTTTCGTCCTTATCACCTATATTATATACAAACATAGTGGTTAGTTAAAATTGAGGCTCTAAGAAGAAACACTTTTTCAAATTTGGAACATTAGCAAGGATTAAGTATATTTTGTAAGTCAGAAAAATAAACAATTTAGTTATTTGAAATGTAACTGGTCGGTAAAATAAAAGATGTTTTGTAGGACATATTGGATTAAAGAATTGAAATTTAAATTAGGAAATGCAGAATTTTGCTAATTTTGTTTAACTGCTAGCGATTTTTTGCTTCGCAAGTGCGTCATTTTTTTGCGAGCGCTTTTTATCATTATAAAATGTATATGGGACTAATAAGGGAGTAAACCCCTATAGAATTGGCGATTTAATCGCGTAATAGTATACATATATATATACACACAAAAAAGTTGATTATGCTCCACAAAAAAAAAATTCAATCGTGTCTCAACTAGTTTTGATTCTTTAATTAAAAACCAAAATTGATAATAATGATAATAACTGTCTTTTTTAAATAATTATTTAGATATTAGATGTACTAGCCACCGAACTAGGTCGAACACTTATCTCAGTGGATAGTTAAATAACTTCCTTTGACTTAAATAAACCATTGAATCGATTTTGATGAAATATCTATAGGTCCAATCTAAAAGTAAAACTCTTTCAGTTAAAAGAAAGAATTTTCCAAATTGGTTTATAAATGACGAAGTTTTGAGGTAACAAACATTAAAAATACAACAGAATTGAGAAACTCTATTTTTTTATATTCTATTTTGAAGTCGGTAAAATACAGCCAAGTCTGAAACCTTCGCTTTAGAAAAGTAGGTTATGGCCTGGACTTATCGGTCGACTTTACAGAATGTTTGTTAGCTATTCATTATCTTTGATTTTTTATCTTCGTTTGGATAGATAAGATGTTCCAATCACTGCTAATATTATTCGGTTCATAGAAAAGAATAACTACTATACTACTAAAAGTCGTTTGCTTGGGCACCTCTGTCCCATTCGTGTTTCAACCGTGAAGCAGTTTTTTTACATGGCTGTATTTCGGTGTGAATGGTGGGATATGGTAGAGAATTTACAGGGTACAGAGGAATAACATCCGGGTTCTCAGGAATGGCAACGCATGGGGGGTATCGTGGGCGAAACAGTATACTCTGTTATGTCCATGGTACTGCACATGTTTATAGGCGACGGTTACCACTTTCCATCAGTTGGGTCGTCAGCTTGTTCGCCATTCTAAGTTGCATAAAAAAAAAGCAAGCTGTTATTTAGAGTGGATCCCTTGATTTTTAGACTTCCCGATTTTGCCCTTGGACAGGGATCGGCAATCTGCAACTCGCGAACCACATGCGGCTCTTTGAATGTGAAGCTGGGACTCTTTATTTCCATACGCAAATATTATTAATAAAAAAAACAAATTAAAAATCTTTCTGAATCTTCATCAAACTTTATTTATGCAAGTACTATTTATTATCGGCAAGAAAAACTTTTGTGGCTCTTTAAAAATTGAAATTTTAATTTTTGACTCATCCGATTCAAAAGGTTACCGACCCCTGCCCTTGGATTATGTGCAACTTCCACCAACAAGACAAAGTCGGGGATTCCCCGAAACATCACACGATAACATTTGTTCACCCATTCGCCTTGCAGCATAGTTGTTTACACATTTAGAATACACAAGCAAATTGACACTTTAATTCCTATTGAATAGTGCCGCAAGTCGCTCGATGTACACACAGTACAGTACACACGCCAGTGCCATTTTTAGACTGTGATGACACGAGGAAGGAAAAACAAATATTTTTTGGCTGGTGATAATGAGCTTTACTGGAAAGATAATAGAGTTTATAAGTACATTCTGTATGAAGTGTACATCAACTAGTACATATATGATATGACTATATGTCGTCACCTTTATGGTAAATTTACGAATCTGAAAATGATACATTTTACAGGGGAACGTTTTGAAACATTAAAATGCAAATAACTTTTGATAGAAGACTACTGTAAAAGATCGTGCTAACATTTTAGTTTTAAAATCCTGTTTTTTATTGAATGCGCTTAATTAATTATTATTATATTACAAGTATCAGAAATAAATGCATATTCGTTACTTTGCACCTTCATACATGAGAGCTCCTAGGTATTGAGTTATACAACAGCAAATCTACGAAAGTGGCAGTTTCGTAAGTTGCCAAAGAAAATAATTTATTTTAATATCTAGCAAACTAACGAAAGTGCCACTTTCGTAAATATACCAAGGTATAAATCACGTGTTTTGGAGAGAACTTCAGTTTTAATAACATTATAGCAATCATTCATGTAAAATAACTAAATTAGGATTGAAAAATTGATAAAATAATTAGTGAAATTTTCAAATTAAAGTGTTTATTATAGAAAATACTATAAAAATATGCTAAGTAAGTTTACTTTGGATATATCACAAAAATATGGAGATTCGAGCTACTCGATTTCTTTAACCGTTAGAGATAGAAATTTGAAAATAAGCCACAATAAGTAGTATGACGCAAAATGTAGATTTTTAAAGAAATGTCAAATTTGAAAAAACAGATTCCGAAATTTGCCATGGAGGTGGTGACTTGTAATTTTGTAGTCGAGCTATCTCGCTAAGTGTTAGTGATAAAAATATCGTCTATAACAAATAATTTATAATTTTACTTTAAAAAACCAGCATTTACCTTTTGCCAATTTTTTTTTCTTCTTTGTTAATTATGGTTATATACTTCAGCATCATATCAGCCTTTAACTGTCCACTGCTGAACATAAACCTCCCTCTGGGTGTTTTGCCAATAGTTGCCACGTTTGGCAGGCGGATTGGCAACTGCAGTCAGGCTTTAGAGATATTTTAAGAGGGACGCTGCTGCCCATCCCTCGCCCTCCCTTAATCGGCTTTTGCGACACCCACGGAAAAGGATGGGGGGCCCTATTCTATGCCGGGACCACACGGAATTGATGAAATTGTTTTTTTTTAACCATAATTTTTTTGGGGCTTTTTATTTTATGGTAAGGCATTGGGCCTTTTAAGATAAACAATTGCCCCTCAATGACCGCCCTAGCTAAATTGTATAAAGTGTATCTCAAATAAAATGTAATTGTTGAAGTTAAAAATATATACATATTTTTTGATAAACGGCCATTACACTGTGAAACGAATAGTTTAGTATACGAATGTAGTCGTCATTAAGCATTGGCCTTGTATACACTGGCACGGATGTATGGGTGAGTGCAATGTTGACGCTCAAATATGTTACTGACTGTGCTAACATATTGCTCTACCTTCCTTGGGCAGTCTGTTTTTACTTTATGATTTTTAACTATAATATATAATACTGTAGGATAAGCAAGCTGAAGTGGCAATGGGCTGGTCACATAGCTCGAAAACCGACAACCGATGGGGATGAAAGGTTCTTGAATGGCGACCACGTACTGGTAAACGCAGTGTAGGACGACACAACCCCACTAAATGGAGTGACGACCTGAAATGCATTGCATCGAGTCAGTAGACGCAGGTGGCTCAGGACCGTTCTTTATGGCAGTCTATGGAGAGAGGCTTATGTCCAGCAGTGGACAGATAATACCCATGATGATGATTATTAAATACTAGCTACGCGATTTTTTTTAAAAAAAAAACAGCCCATTTTACTAACAGATAATGTAGCTTTCTATAAGTGAAAGAATTTGAAAAATCGGTCGAGTAGTTTTGATGTTTATCCATTATTACAAATAAAAAATTGAATCTTTCCTGTTTGAAGAAAGAAAGAAATATTTAGTGCTTAATTTCACACATAGGTACTTATATTATAATATAAAAATATTTAACAATAATATATATAATATTGTTTTAAATAACAATTTTAATAGTTCGTAACAAGCACATTTTGCTCTGTAAAAAGCGTTTAACACTGCTTTCTCAACGTGTAGTTTTGCTTCACGAATAAAATGCTCAGAAAGTTAATATGGCACCAACAGGAGTAAACTCACTGCACTGTTTCAAGTTATCTTTTTGTCGCGGAATTGAATACTGCAGTTTTCCTGTTGTTTCTGATAACATCCTGACAGTGATTAAAAAGAGTGCAGGACACATTGTTATCGTACTTACATTTACTTTATCATTCTTATTTATACACTATATTATATATAATATATTATATATAAATATATATACTTTATCGTAATTATTATATTAATTAAGATAAGAACTATTATGAGATGATTCATAATTATTAATGCCATTATTGAAAAAAAAAATATACCATGCATATACACATTACCTATCGGTTTGATCGAATATAGTAAATAAAATAAAATATTTATAAATTACTTCTTACAACTAATACTAACTATATTTAAATTAATTATTCTATAAAAAGACATGCTAAAGTTGTTTACGAATCGAGATCAAAATGAGTAACTGAGTTGTAGAAAGTTTATAAAGTTTAAAAAGTCGTTATACGCAAACAGTATAAAAAAAATACTTTTTAATTTAATACAAGCAAATTTAGGTAGAGGGTTACATGCAAGTTTTTCCCGGCAGAACATGATATTCCTAGACGGTTAAATAAAAAAAAAAAGAATGATGTAAATGACCTTTCAACAAGTCTAACAAAATAAATATTTCTCCGAGTATGTAACAACTAGAAGCCAAATTACAGTCACCTCAGACTCGACTACGTAACTTTAATTCGACTTGCACTATACGAAATCTGTAACTGGCTAAATGTAACTATTAATTTCGTCATTAACTGTACTTACACATGGGGGGTATCATGGGCGAAACAGTATACTCTGTTATGTCCATGGTACTGCACATGTCTATAGGCGATGGTTACCACTTTTCATCAGGTGGACCGTCAGCTTGTTTAAAGTTCTAAGTTGTATAAAAAAAAACTTACACTCGTACAGGATGGGTTTAAAAACAATAGCCTCCCTTTAAGGATAATGTTCTAATGTGAAACTGAATGCTTTTCCCATAGAAACGTGCGTAGAAAAATGACAGCAAATATACCTACGTTTTTATCAGGATTTTCTTAGCCTCCATTACTAATACTAATTTGACAGCTTGACGCATCGTATTAGTATTGAAGGCTCGATATTTTTCTTTTGGGAAAAATGTTCTGTTTATGGCAAAAATTCACAACTATGCTAATATTTTCTATTTCACTTCGTATCAAGAATATTTGTTTTATTCCTTCAGTGCGGTGTCTCGACTGATGTGGTGGCTATCAAAGCAACGCTTGTTTGTACTTGCAAAGGAAATCCGCACGAATTTGTACACAAAATTGTAGACATGGATAACAGAATGATTTTTCTCGCGTCATCTCAGTAATTCAGGCGCACCCCAATACGCCGACTCATTGAATTAACTCAAAACTGCAAATACCGCGGCACACAGGGTAGCTTATATCGCTGTACTGTATTTTTTGGCATGCGCCCAAAAACAAGCTACGAAGAAAAGTTCCTTTCTCTGATTCTACTTTTGGTTTTTCTTACGCTCTCATTCGTTTAGTTTAGTGCATTTGTATACTTTTATACAAGTTCAAAAAATTTCCCTAATTTCTCCAAGCACGTTTTTCTTTTCTTAGTACTGCTCTGTGCGCCAACTCAAAGAAATGAGTTGACACATTCAGTGCAGTGATGAGTTAGCGCCCTTGCGCGGGGTAATGTTACCCATGTTTACAAAACTGATATCTAAATATATTTCTATACCATTAAAGTCGAGCAAAAAGTATATTGTATTTTTTTTTTTGTCTACAAATTCGAACGGACTAAACATTAGATGTTGCATGCAAATATTTATAATTATTTTTTAAATATTTCAGATCAAAATCAAGGCTACCCACAAGGTGGGTATCCCCCACCGGGCGGATACCCGCAAGGGGGCTACCCACAAGGGGGTTACCCCCCGCAAGGAGGCTATCCGCCACCGGGGGGCTACCCCCAAGGTGGCTACCCACAACCCGGTTACCCCTCTGCTCCCCAACCTGGATATGGAGGCTACGGTGAAGTAAGTATTTAAAATCCATATAAGGATATATATGATTTGTTTCAATTAAACTTAATGAAAACCAAATTTTGTTGAAAATATAGAACAAAAATCTTTTTATTTCCAAATTTTTGTTGAAAATATATCAAAAAAAAATAAAATACATTTTATTTGAGGGTCGGGGGCTCGTGGCATTTTGCCAGCCCTGCCACCCTATTGTTACGCCACTGTATTTAAGTAAAAGAATTTTGAAAACAGATCAAGTAGTTTTTAAGTTTATCTTATTACGAAGAAACTTTTTTTTATATTAGTATAGACAAAAAAATTTTTTTTTTTTTTACATTTAGACAAAACTTGTAGATTGTAATCTAGTAAGCCATGATGCATTGATGGGAAATGACATGCTGAAGTAAATGGTGCGTGTTTAACATACATTTTCATATGAGTACTGTGTCATAACTTTAATCTCTCTCTATGAATGTGAAAAAAGCGTATTTCTTCTCAAATATAAGGGTACCTGAATTTAACGAACTTAGATAAAAATATATTATATTGAGAGTAAGGAAACACTATGTCGCCACACCTTTTCATCTATAAGAAAGCCGTAAGTGCTCACTTAGAGAGCAAAACACTATCTTCCTCACTTCAAGAAAAGGAAAATAGATAGATAGATAGATAATTTTATTTACATTACAGCACACAAATTTCAACATACATACACAAAAAAAAAAAGCGAGATAACATAAATGGCAAAAAAAATCAATATTAATGTTGGAAATGCGATAGTTTATAACTATGTATGGATGGGTGGATGTTTGTTGTCCTTTCACGCAAAACTACTAAACGTATTTGTGAAATATATGTTATTTTACGAGGAGAAAGCTGGCACAAAATAAAGCTATGAAACTTAGCAAAGTATTAATGGGATATTTCAACTTCTGCGCCACCTACCCACTTCTATCTGTTCTCCTTTAACCAAAGGTTGTCTGTAAGAGATTGCCCTAGCGATAAGACCGCCTTTTGTACCTTTATATGTATATTTTGATCTGTACTTCATGCTATTGTTTTTCAGTTGAATTGTTTATATGTCATTGTTTATTTTTATGTTTTGGGTGCAATAAATAAATAAATAATAATATTATCATTCCTCTCTTGGGGATTGAAGTTTGAGAGAGTGTGAGAATGGTACATATGGCGGATTTAATACCTACCATTTAACCAGATTTAGCGTCAACCATGAAGCAAGCAGTAAATTAATTATATAAAAAATTTCTATCTTTTCTATCGACTATTTTCGAACTTTCTTCACATTTCGAGACTTCACTTTTTTATCTATGCGTTTTTAAGTGAAATGCCTACGCTGATTGACTCTATAAATATGTCAGTATACAAAATATCTTATCACAATGGTATCATAGTTATCACATATTTTGTACAGTTGTTATCGAGCTAAGGATCGCACAACATGTATCAGGTAACAAGTTGACGTTACTCATATGTGCATAGTGTTTATTTTGAAATTCTGTCTGCAATTGTGTTTCCATCACGTATTAAAAAAAAAATCGTGATACGCAAAGGAAAGCTTATAAAGAGCTTTAAATGCCTTAACCTTGCGAAGTGTAGCAACGTTGAAAATAATTGTAAAATTTTTAAAAATAAACGACACATTTTTTCAATAAAAATTAGTAGTAATAAAGTGCAGCGTAATTACACCAATAGCGACTGGTCATCGACCTTTTTTTTTAATGCCACTTAGAATGGTTATGAAGCTACGGATCCATATAATGAGACGTGACAACCATAGCCTATAGACATGAGCAGTACCATAGATATAACAGTGTATACGGTGTCTCCCATGATACCCTTCATTTGTTGCGTTGCCATTCCTGAGGACTAACCTGTTTTGCCGGGGGGAAGGGATTGTTAGCAATGGAGTTTGACAGCCCCATTGCTAGCAATATGGGCATATATCACGTCAACCTCCGCGTGGTTCCTCCTGGAAACCATCGTGAACAATTCTCGTTGAATTCATCACGATGGGCTAGCTGACCTGTTTCATCCTCACCTATCATCCTTCACTGGTGCCCTATCAGCGTAAACCGATAGCGCGGGTGAGGTCACTATTTCATTATCACCTATAAAAAAAACCTGTTTTGCCTTCGCACCCTGTAATTTCATTGCCACATCTAAACCATCGAAATGCAAACAACTGCTTCACGGCCGAGGTACCCAAGCATACTGTATACTGTATCGCCCATGATGCTTTGCCATTCCTGAGGACTAAGTTGTTATGCTTCTGTTCTTCTTTTGATTTCATAATAATGTATATAAACTAGGTTAACCGGTTTTTTTTTATTGATGGTAATGGAATGGTAACCCCGCCTACGCTATCAGTATATCCTGGGGGAGGTCACCAATGATAAAAAAATAGGTAAAGATGAAGATAGGTCAATTGGTCTATTGGGTTTCCAGGGGGAAACGCATGGAGGTCGACTTGATAAGGTATATTGCTAGCAATGGAACTTTTTTTTTATACAACTTAGAATGCCAAACAAGCTGACGGCCCACCTAATGGAAAGTGGTAACCGTCCCCTACAGACATGAGCAGTACCATGGATATAACGGAGTATACTGTTTCGCCCATGATACCCCCCATGCGTTGCCATTCCTGAGGACTCAGGTGTTATTCCTCTGTACCCAGTAAATTCACGCATATCCCACCCTTCAAACCGAAACACAGCCATGCAAACACAACAGCTTCACGGTTGAAACACGAATGGGACAAAGGTACCCAAGCAATCGACTTTTGTACAAAGTCTCCCTCTGGTATTTTTTGTATTCTGGAACTATTTTTTTTTTTTTACGGGGCACCAGTGAGGTATGAAAAAGCAGGTCAGCCCATCGTGATGAGTACACCAGGGATTCAGCACGATGGTTTCCAGGGGGAACCAGGTGGAGGTCATCCTGACAGGGTATATTGCTAGCAATGGATCTGTTAGTTCGCATTACTAACAATCCCTTCCCTCCGCAATGGAGCTATTTTTTTTTATGGGTGAAAATGAAATGGTAACCCCGCCTGCGCTAACGGGATACGCTGGCGGGGCATCAGTGGAGGGTGATAGATGAAAATGAAAACAGGCCAGTTAGCCCATCATGATGAATTCATCAGGAATTAACCATGATAGTTTCCAGGGAGAACCACGAGGAGGTCGACCTGGTTTGGTATAATGCTAGCAATGGGATTCTCAGTCTCCATTACTAACAATTCCTTTTATATAATAGTAAAATAACATTTTTGTTACAGCAACCAGGATACGGCGGGCCGTCGGACGCCGTCGGCGAGGATGGGGAAGTCAAGGGTTTCGATTTCACCGAGCAGACTATCAGAAGGGCTTTTGTTCGAAAAGTGAGTATACAAGCATTTTAAAACATTTTATGCCTTTATTGCAAAAGGTCAGCACAATATGCTTCATACGCTGAGGAATGAGCTCCCTGCTTCAGTTTACCCTAAAGACGTAATATAGGGTTTCTCAAAAAGGGTATATTTTTAAACTAGCGATCCGACCCGGCTTCGCACAATTAGATAAAATTTTTGAAAATCAATACTTTTAATAAAAAGAAGTTTCAGCCAATTCAATTGATCGGTTATTTTATAGCATTTTATATGTGATTCTTTAGATTGATATATTTTTTTTTATTTATGAACTAATTGAAATAAAATAAAAACTAAATGTTAAGTGAAGCAAACCGCAATGCGTTAGTGAAAACCGCATTCAAATCGGTTAAGACAGACAAAAGAGACTAATAATTCTAAAAATCATTGTTTTTGGTTCTATTACGTTCATAAAGCTCTCTCTGTAATAGTTTTCCTTATATATCTTTCATGTATAGTCAGCGAACAGTTACGATTTTATTATATGTATTTTCTCAAACATGCTTGGAAATGTGAGCATTATTTTGACAATCTTCTTCGAGATAAATCAAAATTGCCGTACTGGCCAGATACAAGCGGGCAACGGCCGGCAAAAGTTGTATGAAAATCCATATCTGTCGTCGATAAATTACTATGTAAACTCATTTTAAAAATGGAATGCATGGCTACTAAGATAAATTACTATGTTGATGGACGAACTCAAATGTGGGCCGAGGTATCTGTCCATGTAATTTAAAAATGGAATGACCAATTTTACTTTTTCAATTCAATGACGAATAACGAACAATTTTTTTCACGCGCCATAATATTCCTTTGTTTTTTTTTTCAATAAACATTTTTATGGCAAGCCAGTTCGAAATTTAAATAAAACCTTTATTAGTTACCTCCTTGGTAGCCATGTTTCGAAGTAAAAGGTCATTCCATTTTTAAATTACAGGACAGATTTAAAGTTTTATCAAAACACGACAGTGGATTTTCATACAACTTTTGCAAATAGAAAAAGATTGTCAAAATAATGCTCACAGTTCCAAGCATGTTTGAGAAAAAGGTTTTATTTAATTAACATTAAAAAATAACATTATGGCGCGGGAAAAATTATTATTGTTCGTTATTCGTCATTGAACTTAGCAAGTAAAATTGTATTTTTTATTTCCACGCATTGTTTCAGAAAAGTACTATACAAGCCTTGGCCCACAACTAGGCATTGATGGACTCACGTATGTGTTTGTACGTTCGTCCATCAATGCCTCAGTTGCTGGCCACTGCAGTAATGTACTATTATTGATTATATATATATTTTGTTTTAGTCTTGCATCTTATTATTATGTAACATAGAAGTGAATTTTGATTACTATTTAATTTCAGGTGTACTCGATCCTGATGTGTCAACTGCTAGTCACAATGGCTTTTATATCGCTGTTTCTATTCCATCATCCCACCAAAGTGTGGGTGCACAATAATCCCGGCATGTTGTAAGTAAATACACTGTAATTGGCTACCTATATCACGCGGCATCAGTTGTAGCTTTATCGCAGGGGCTCCTATATTTTTAAGATAACGGAACGCCTACCAATTTTTATTTTTTTATTTTATGGTACCCCATATCAAATGATTACAAATCATAAACGTTGTAATTTAAATAAGAACAGAAGCTTTTATTATTTTTTCACTGTATAAAAAATTTTGCGAAACTCTGATGACTTACGGAATGATGAACGGTTCCACGGAATCCAGCATATGGGCATGCAGCCAGCGATGGGCTGTAGCGTTCCTCTTAAAACCTCACTAAAAGCCTAACGGTGATTGCCAATTCGTCTACCAAACGTAGCAACTACTAGCAGAACTCTCCTTCTGATTCAAATTGTCATTTGCATTAAATATGGTTACATTAGATGTTGAGTAGCTTTAGTTCATTTATTTTGTGGTACATAGGTAACAATGGATGGTAAAACAAGATAAGTCCTCTATCAACCCTATCTATCGAGGTATACAAATTCGCAATTATATAAAAAAGAAAAAATATATATATATATATATATATATATATATATATATATATATATATATATATATATATATATATATATATATATGATTTAGCATTGAGAAACATACAACCTCAAATTTTCACCGTTTCAACTTCTGTTTTTTAATCGCGATTTTTATATGCTGCAATAGAGGTGTGCATCAAATGCAATCCAATATAATAATTCCGTAGTAAGAACCCAGATACATTTTCACGTATAGTTCATGTACTAGCCACTACTGGATTTTCTTATATATATATAAGAAAATCCAGTAGTTTACACTTCAAGCTACGTGTTTCTGGGGAAAGCTTATGTTCAGCAGTGAATAGTTAAAGCCTAATATGATGATGATGCTGATTTGATGATTCCAGTTGGGTGGCATTCGCGGTGACCTTCGTGACACTGATCGTGATGGCGTGCTGCGGCGACGTGCGCCGGAAGGCTCCCATGAACTTCATATTCCTCGGCATATTCACGCTCGCGCAGAGTTTCCTGCTAGGTGTCGCCTCGAGCGTCTACGACGTTGATGCTGTGAGTTATTTTTTTTTTGCAACTTGAAATCGCAATTGGGAAGTGATAACCGTCGCCTGTATACATGAACTGTGCTGTGGATTTTTTTTATACTATTTATATAGAACATCGAATGTTAAAATTGGGTTAAAATGTACTCAGCTAATTTGATGTTTGGCTGACTCTAAATTTTTAAATGACATTTATAAATCAAAACAACACGAGCTTTTTTCTCACTTTTGCATGTAATTGAATTATAAATTGCCAGAATATCTTGATTTTTTTTTAATTTGAATTGGGAACCATTTTTATTCATCTAAAATCTATCTAACCCTATTCACACACATGTGGAAAAAAGTTAATCTGTTCTTATTTTGAGAAGTATTTGTGTATATATATATATATATATATATATATATATATATATATATAAGGTGTTCCAAATTAGATAATTTGGGATATAATAATAAAGGAATGATGCATTCCCTTTAGGGGATATAGTATTACGAATATACGTTACGATACTAATAGAATTTCGTGTCTCAAATATCATATAATTTTTCGCACAAAAAAAATATCCTTAATAAATACGAGTATAAATTTTTCACCCTGTATAAAAAGTACCTTTTAAAATATATTATGTTAAAACTGACGGAGTGAGCGCGACCAACGATGTGATAGAGACTAGTATAGTTATTACGACGTTTTACAAGCAGTGAAGAAATTTAAGTATTTATTTTTATAAAATAATTTCAAACTACTTTGACATGAAATTCCTTTTTTATTGTAATGTGTGTATATCTAATACTATGCCCTGTAGCAGGGAATGCAGATAATTTGGTAACACCTTATATATACTAAATATACGGACTATAGAACCAATTATACTGTTCCAGGTGTTGATGGCAGTAGGTATAACGGCAGCGGTATGCCTCGCCCTCACGCTGTTCGCGCTGCAGACCAAGTGGGACTTCACAGTGATGGGCGGCGTGTTGCTGTGTGCCACTGTCGTGCTGCTCATCTTTGGTAAGCCATCTTAGCACTAAGTTAGTTACTTAACTGTCCACTGCTGAACCTCCCGCCCCCATGGGTTTTGCCAGTAGTTGTCACGCTTGGCAGGCGGATTGGCAATCGCAGTCAGGCTTTGGAGATGTTTTAAGAGGGACGCTGCTGCCCATCCCTCGCCCTCGCCTAATCTACTCTTACGACATCCACGGGTATGGAAGGGGTGGCCTATTCTATGTCGGGACCACACGGCGACACATCGACCACATCTTAGCACATACACAATCCATAATCTAAGTTGTATAAAAAAAATGTAAATGAATACGCCATAACTGTAAATATATATATATATATATATATATATATATATATATATATATATATATATATATATATATAATAGCTCTAATTGTGACGGCACAGGGACAGTTTTTTTATATTTTTATAAAAAATATATATAAATATTTTTTTTTTTAAAAAAAAAAAAAAATATATATATATATATCTTATGTGAAGCTATAAATAATTTATTAATGAATAAATAAATTATAAGAGGTTAATAACCAAACATACTTTTCTCTTAATAATAATTTTACTCGCCTATTGATTTTTAAAATAAATGAAAAAATAATAATTGGTAAACGGCAACAAATTGATCTGACTGGAGTAGTCATGTAATATGACTAACTCCAGTTGTGAGCACATTTTTTTTTTTTTTTTTTTGTATAGAAGCTTATTTTTTTAAATGTCTTTTTTCCAGGTCTAATCGCCATATTCATCCCTCGCAACAACATAGTAACGCTGGTGTACGCGTCGTTGGGCGCTCTGCTGTTCTCCTTCTACCTGATCTACGACACCCAACTGATGATGGGAGGCAAGCACAAGTACAGCATCTCCCCCGAGGAATATATCTTCGCATCGCTCAACCTGTACCTGGATATAGTCAACATCTTCCTGTACATTTTGACCATCATTGGTGCCTCCAGAAACTAGGATTCGGTGTAAGGGCATCGGTCGTGTTCTGGATTTAGTGCAGCTTTATTTAATTAACATTCTGTTTTGTTGGACCCATTTTTGTATTGCATTTATGTGTTGATTTGAATATAACCTCTTTATTCGTAAAAGCGTAAAATAAACTTATTTTATATATATTTTTTATAATAGCTCTAATTGTGACGGCACAGGGACATTTTTTTTTTAAACGAAAACAACCAGAGATGAAAACTTCCCTGAATAACTGGCCGCGTTCTTTTGTTTTTCTTTTTTTTTTCACTTGTCAAATTTAGAATTTATCTCTAAAGAGACGACATTCTAATAACTAAAATATTGTAGGTATAGACATTAACGTTTTTATAAATAACGGGGTTTTGTCTATGGTTTGTGAGGTTGCCAGTAAGAAAAATCTCCACAGATATTGGTAGTCATTTTATTGTCTACGATGACTACTGGGACTGATTGTAATGAAGTAGAAGGTTGTGGTCCAAATTAAAGTTTAGTTCGTCGAAATTGTACAAATTATTATGTTTTATTTAAGTGACTCACACTTGCAATTTATACTTTGTAATAAATTAACGATTGTGTTACACCGTATAGTATGTTTATTATAAGTAAGAAAAGTAATTTTTTTTTATCTAATTTTTCTTTTTTCGAGCAAAGGTTTTGACCGACGCCCTTATATAAATACGAATGGCCTTGCTACGCTGTCAAGGCCAAGTGTAACAAGAAACAATAATAAATATGTACACCATAGATTAGTTAGATATTTTAACCGTCTATATTTTATATAGCAGCTATATATACATCGATGTCCATTTTATCTGACCAGAAATGTATATTCTTAAAATGCATAACATTATAGTTATTAATATTATGATTAAAAATGTATTCTGTAGCTATGTATATTCCAGGTTTAAAATCGTATTTAGTCATCTTCAATATGCAGAAACCATCCAGTCTCCATAGAATCTAATATTTTAACTTGTTTATTACCTCTAACCTGCTAAAATTATCTTGAAATTTCGTAAATATGTAACATTTGAGATAGAGAGCGGCATACTCTAGATTTTATACTGTATAGTAATGTTACGCGGTGATTCTCGCTCGCCACCTGGATGCGCATGCGCATGCGGTTGTGTTTAGCCGTCGACTATTGGCTGGGCTTACAAAAACGGGGTGTAGGCTCGCGGAGCGCCTTCCCATCTCAATCCCAATACCTAAATGTATTCATTCATTTTCATTTAAGAGTTTCCTCTTGTCGATGCAACTAATTCATGCATCTTCCTCCAGCCAGCTCTATCCCAGGCTATATCCTTTATCTCCCTATACGACATGACGCCTAGTGTTTCCTTTATCTGTCCCATGTAGGTAATCCTAAATGTATATTCTATGTAAATATATCAATTTTATTATAATCGGTTGAGCCCTCACAAAGCAAAACAGTAATAAACAAGCTCACTATCACATTTATAATATTAGTAAAACTTAATTTTCTTTTTTTTTTTAATATTTCGTCAATAATATGAAACTAATTGGTTAATTTATTAATTATAACATATTAATTAGATTTTTTTAAATTATTAATTTAATTCTACAAACCACAACGATCCTGTCCATCTGTGGAAGAAATGATAATGCTATTACAATCATCTGAAAATAATTATACGACGCCTCGCTTTATTTTAAACACAGAATCGGAACTTACCGCGATGTAAAAGCCTTTACAGGTAAATAGTACCTACATACCTGCTTCCTCATTTGCCGACTTTTCGACGTGGATTGTACCGCGTCGTGGTCACGACAAGACTGAAGTGAGCGGCGTCTTCGTCTGACAGCTCGCGCAGACACTTCGGGTACCCTCACTGTCACCATATAACGGCAGTAAAGAAGCAGATATATAGATACTATTTACCTGTAAAAGCTTTTACATCGCGTTAACTCCTATTTGTGTATTTAAAATATGTATAAAGAGCGCGGAAGTTTAAAATTATATTAATTAATTCGAATCAGGTAAGTATGTACCGTTCTTAATGTGATAAATGGGCCCATAACCTATTGTAGCTATTTGTCAATACCTCAATATTAAATATGTTACTTATTATTGATAAATAAAGTATTAATACAAATAATGCTTTTCATTTCTGGTCAGATATCCGTCGCTTACCTCTGACGCACATTGTGAGATCAATGCTTCGCGTTATATAATACAAACCAAATATAGCTTGTAGATATAGCATTTGTATACTTACCAACATCTAATTTTAACACGTAGCGTTAAGGTTCATTTTTCATTGTGGACTTTAGCCAAGTTCAACGTTTTACATTTTTTTCTTTTTCATAGAGAAAAAATAATTATGTATAAATACTAAAACGTTCTATAAACATATTTTATTCTATCTTTTTCAGAACTTGGCGTGAATTAAAAAGAGAACACGCTAAAATAGAATATTTCTTTTTTTATGAAACGATTCAGTGTCCAACCGAACCTTTAGTTTCGGTGTAAAGTTTAAATGATAACTCTAATTCGTTTTATGCTAGCTATATACCAATGAGTGAGGAAGATAGATGAATTTGTCAGTTCGCTCATTATGACGAAATTACCAATAATTAACATTTCCCCTTTTATTTCTCAAGAATTTAGAGTATTTTATGTAGTAGTAACTTTAAGGAAATAGAGTTATTCTAGCCAGTTATGGGCCCAGTGACAATGAGTAAATAATTTTAATCCTCAAACACCAACAGAATTGTTTTGCACAGATTTCTGTATTAATTTTAAAGTACCTATTACAATTTTAGTTGTTGTTTTGTGTTGTTTGTGGTCAAAATTGGACACTGTTTGATAGAGAGTTGCACAATTATGCACGTGTACGACACAGTAATTACCTATTTTCGGTAATATTTAATTAAAATTAGGAACTATGATTATTGTCTATATTATAGGCATAGATGTATTGGTAATATACGAGTAATACGTTATTACCTCTTCTGATGAATCACTACGCCATGTACAAAAGTTATAATAAAGTAATAAATGCAAACTTTAATTTTAATACATCTCCGTGATACATCCTTAATCGCCATTGTATCAAAGACAAACAAAAAAAGTGTTTAATTAGTCCTTATTTAAAAATAAAAAATATTAAAAAAGTAATTAATTCTTTTACAAATCGAAGCCTTAACACACTTGTACAAAACTTCTCTATAAAATATCTAGGGAAATTGGTATGACTAGATACTGTACTCATATAAAATTGACAATAAATCGTACTTAAAACGTTTATCCTCCAATTATTTTTATTGTAACCTTTATTTTGCAATCCCATCGTGCATGTACCAATTTTATAAATAATTATTTAACTCGTCTCTAATCCTAGACAATGTTTAACTGCATTCGATGTTGATTCTACTAATATACCAGCATCTATTTCTAATCTGAATTCAGAGATTGGTATCGATTCGGAAGCGCAATTTTTTTAAAAAGAAAATTTCTTTTTTTTTAAAGACCAAATTAAATTAATTTTCTAATTAAGTCAATAAAATAATTTTAGTTTTATTATGGTCCATAAAACGGTAATATCTCGAAATTATCTAATTAAAATATGAAATGAGAGGTAAGTTTGAAAAAATGACACCTCAGAATCTGGCCCATTGTCCTAGTCTCTTTTAGACGAGTTATGAATATGTCTATTAAAAAATAAATTAGCACATTTATAATAATAAAATAATTTATTCAGTTATAAATACAGCATAACTTGTACAAAACTTTAATAAATAATGACATATAAATATTTTAATTTATTGAACTTAATATGTAATTAGAGAAAGCTCGACTAGTTTCGCGAGCAATTCGTGATTCGTAATCATGAGCGGCTGTAACGCGAGCGCGAGCTTGACACACTTGTTACAGCCACTCATGATTAAGGATCACCGATTGGTCCCGAAACTAGTCGAGTTTTCTCGATCTAATTACACGTAGGTTAAATCTGTAGTTATATTATATTAAAATATAATATGTGCTTACAAATCATTTTACAATAACATAAATAATTTACGAATTAAACCATCACGAAGATACTACTTCACAATTAATGTATTGACACTAATATTTATGTATATATGTCCTTCAAAGTGGAGATGGGGACGTTAGGGACCTTATATCTCTGTAAGTTATGGCCATCGCTAACGAGGGGCATTTAGTCTGCCATCTTTATGCCCATTATCTGCACAGGTGATTACAAACACTTTTATGGTAATTTAATTATATTTTTCTCAAACATGCTTGGAAATGTGAGCATTACTTTGACAATCTTCTTAGAGATAAATCAAAATTGCCATACTGTCCAGATACATGCGGGCAACGGCCGGCAAAAGTTGTATGAAAATCCATATCTGTCGTTTTTTGCGGCCAGATAAATTACTATGTAAACTCGTCTGTCCTGTAATTTAAAAATTTAATGAACTTTTACTTCAAAACATAGCTATCAAGGAGGTAACTAATAAAAGGTTTTATTTAAATTTCGAACTGGCTTTAAAATAGACAGCTGTTTATTGAATAAAAAACAAACGAAAAAATGGCGCGTGAATAATTATTATTTATTGTTCGTTATTCGTCATTGAACTTAAAAAGTGTTTTTGATTTCCGCGCATTGTTTGAGAAAAGTACTATACAAGCCTTGGCCACAACTAGGCATTGATGGACTCACGTATGTATGCCTCGGCTACGCCTCGGCCCACATTTGCACGTTCGTCCATCAATGCCTCAGTTGCTGGCCGCTGCAGTAATGTACTATTTAATAATCCTTATGACAGAAAATTGTTATAAGCTAATATAGAATAAATAAATGTATTTTTCAAAGTAACCTCGAGTACCTATTTATTACTAAATATTAATTATTGTGGTACGCTGTAATTAAGTATATAGCTTTGATGGCTTTAAAATTTGCTGTTTAAGACGTTTAGGTTTAAGTTGATTAAAGTTATGAATTTAGAGGTGTTTTTTTTTCTATCTATTAACTAGAATTCCTGAAACCATCCCCAGTGAATACATTTTTTATGGCAACTTAGAATGTCAAACAAGCTGACGGTCCACCTGATGGAAAGTGGTAACCGTCGCCTATAGACATGAGCAGTACCATGTACATAACAGAGTATACTACTGTTACGTCCATGATAATCCCCATATATATGTATGTATCATATATGTACATATCGACAGTTAACCACAAATATCTCCTAACTAACATTTGTACAATAATTATAAATTTTTTTGGATATATTCAATGGATATATCCATTTTAACCGACTTTAAAAAAAGATGGTTTTCAATTCGATTGTATAATTTTCTTATGTTTGTTATCTCATAACTCCGTTATTTATGTACCTATTTGGAGAATTCTTTTTTATCTTTATGAATATATTTACAGATTGTTCCTAATAGAAATTTCATCAAAATCGGTTTAGAAGATTAGTTTTTAAATCAAAATTGTTGATTTTGCCACAATTCAAGTATGTTTTTTGTACAATTGAAATAATCTGTATTACAGAAGTATTTTTGATACTAATATATTGAGAATGTATATTCAAATAAATTCAAAATATGGATATTTCCTACACTTGTACAAATTTCATTCGTGTTAAAAGTTATTGAAAGTTAACCGTCCATATTATATGTCTGTGTAAAATTTCATGATTCTAGATTAGGTAGATAGATAGATAATTTATTCACATTACTTACAGCACACAAATTACAATAAAAAAAAACACACATAATACACAGCAAAAGAGACAAAAGAATAAAAATAAAAAGCACAAATAAAAAAATACAAAAAACAAAATATAATAGTAACAATCTCCTTTCTTACTCTTCCTTCATGCGTGTGCCATAGTAACACAAAATGGTCACAACTCAGTTTATTGCTTTGCCCTTAAAAGAGCAAAACACTGATATTCTGCTGTGGCCAAGAGTCAGTCGCGAAACTTCTCATTAAAAATTTACAATAAAATAAAATATATAAATAAACTGCATTGTATGTGTCCATTATATTCGCTTTCATTTGATATTATATTCTAAATAAATAACAGATACCATTAGATGAGGGGTAGTTCTATTTAGGACTCGGAGAGTGTGAAATCAGCTTAGTTGACCCAAGTTACAGATAATATAATACTATACTAGCACCCAAATTATTGAATTAACCAAATTAACAAAAATTTTTTCAAAATAGACCGCGTGAAGGTGGACCCATCAGAGTTTACTGCTAACAATGGAACTGCCAATTACCACTATCAATAACTAGCCTGATATCATTTATACCTATCACCCCTTACTAACCCCATCGATGTGAATGTATGTCAATAGCGCAGGCGGAGTTACATTAAATTTTATTTTTCATTAAAAAATATGGATACCGATATGTATGTATTGGGTATATCTGAACATGAAAAAGGTTATCATCCATTTCGAAATTGTCCATATCGGATATCGGTCGTATATCTATTTTCCAAAATTCCAATAGTCTATTATTGAACATAATTTTTTGGATAACAGACTTTTAACATATTCTTTATTGGACCACTATATTAATATTGTAACTAAAAATCTATATAAGATATTGTTACATATTGCCCACCCCTAGTAATCATCCTTGAAAAAAAAAACTCGTTCATGTGTCTATAGGTGTTCTTTTAATGTCTTTTCATACCACGATAATTTATGAGGCTGATATTTTTCCTATTATTAAAAATAAACTAACTGATATTCTGTAGTATCAATCGATATTTAATTACTACACTTAACCAATCCGTTTAATAATACCTAATCGCTAACGGACACTTGTTAGCGAACACTTGTTTTCGATCTTATCTGAGTGTAGCGACATTCGTATCACAAATTACTAATCTCCATTTTATAAACAGACCGTAGACAGCACAGCTGTGAAATGACGATCGTTATCTGTGCAATTACTTTTTTAATTCTTTTTTTAATATACGGCTTCAAGTACAAGGATCCTAAACCGATTTTTGGTGTTTACTCTGTGCCTGGAAAGTGGTATTATTTGAAATATGCAGTTTTCGCCGCCATTTATTATTATAGGAAGGTAAGTGAAAAATTTCGTATTTGCTAATACTCGTAAAATACTTAGTGTGATAAAATAGCGGATATAAACAGTATTTATCATATAGAAGTGCAAATAAAAAATATATCATTATTATGTCACTATATGTGGGGTAGACGGAATACTGTGTTCGCGTGGCTATGTTTCGGTTTGAAGGGTGGGATATAGCAGTGAATTTACAGGGTACAGAGGAATAACACCTGAGTTCTCAGGAATGGCAACGCATTGGGGTTATCATTGACGAAACAGTATACTCTGTTATGTCCATGGTACTGTTCATGTCTATAAGCGACGGTTACTACTTTTCATCAGGTGGACCGTCAGCTTGTTTGTCATTCTAAGTTGCATAAAAAAATGTTCAGATATACCACTTACAAATAGAGTCAATTTTATGTTTTGTAAAAATAGAGTGCTCAATAGAGTGAGAGGGTATTTCACCCCGGAACACCGCCTGAAATTGTATAAAGCTCAAGTCAGGCTGCATATGGAATACTGTTCTCACATATGGGCAGGAGCGCACAGTACCAACTCCTTCCGTTAGACCGCTTTCAAAGTCGGGCGGCTCGAATTATTGATAATCAGCGCCTTACTGTCCGGCTCGACCCACTGAAACTGCGCAGAGATGAGCATCTCTGTGCATCTTCTACCGAATTTATCATGGGGAGAGCTCTAAGGATTGATACCTGCTGCTGATTTTCACCACCGTACAACCCACCATAAATTAAAGTTTCAACCCAACCATCTGGACGAGTGACGGTCTTCCACCGTGCGTTTTTCAAGGCACTTTCTCCCACGCACAACCACTCTTTGGAATCAACTTCCAGCAGCAGTATTTCCGAACCGATATGACAACGTATATAACAACATATACTGTTAGCGCAGACGGGGATGCCATACCATTGTCAACTGTTACGGGATTAGCATTCTGTTTTCACGTATTAAAGAAAAAATATTTTATAAATTTTTTCTATATATTAAAAATTTTAATTATAAATATATATTTATTTTCACGTCTAAAACATATATTTCGATTCCGGAGACTTGATCCCTCCATCAGATAGAATAAATACTATCTGATCTACATGATAAGAGTAGGTATAAAATATAGTGATTATATCTTATCTTAATAAGCCATTAACGTCTCATTATGTGTACATATCTCTCTCTATATATAGCTTACTATTACCTCGCTCGTCAAACGCGTTTTAATAGGGGCGAAAGGGACTGTTAGTGATGGAGACAGAATCCCATTGCAATATACCTCCTCGCGGTTCCCCCTGGAAACTATCATGGTTAATTCCTGATGAATTCATCATGATTTGCTAGCTGTCCTGTTTTCATTCTCATCTATCACCCTTTACTGGTGCTCCGCCAGCGTATCCCGTTAGCGCAGGCGGGGTTACCATTCAATTTTCACCCATAAAAAACAATTCCTTTCCCCCCTCACCCATAGACTGCCATAAGGAACGGTTCTGAACCACCTGCATCCATTAACTCCCTGCAATGCATTTGAGGTCGACTCTCCATCTAATGGGGGTCGTATTACACTGCGTTTGCCCGTACGGGGTCGACACTCAAGGACCTTTCTTCCCCATCTGTTGTCGGTTCTTCGAGCTACGTGACCTGCCCATTACCACTTCAGCTTGCTTATCCTTCGGGCTATGTCGGTTCTTTTGGTTCTTCTATTGCTAGCAATGGGATTCTTAGTCTACATTACTAATCATCCCTTTCCCCCCGGAAAAGAATTGTTAAAAATAGGAATTAGTAACCCTATAAATCCTTAGACTATTTCTAAAGTGAAAAAAAGTGTTGTCCTCCTCTCTCCTACTTGCTGTGCCCAACACGGTCCATAATTGAAGTTGAAATGTTATCTACTAATTATATTATGGAATGCAATAAATAAATAAATAACCCTTCTAGTAATATCTCTTCTTATTATTTTATTTCTCTCTCTTCTATTTATTTTTTTGCTGTCTTCGTTCGTGATGTCACGCATGACCACCACAGAATATCAGCGCTGTAGCAATTGAATTGCTGCAGCACATGCCGAGTAGCGGCCACGTTGGCAATAACAAATCTAAAGTTTTTTTTTTGTATTGATAATTCATGTAACTCTTTTTGTTGTTGCCAATAAATGTTTTTTTTTCTTTCTTCTTTACTTAACAATTCATATAACTTTCTTTAAAAAAAAAAAAGTATTATCTTTGTTTTTATATTTCTTTTGTAGATGTACATCTCATAATAATGTTATGATAATGAAGACTTTATTCGTTAACCAGCCATTAACCGGCATTTATAAGATTGTTTATTGCAGTATTCAAAGAGAGCAGCCGGCCCCGATGGCAGCGCTGGTCAAGGAGTGAAAGCCATAGCGGATCCTGTGGACATGGATCGGGCGCAGACACTTAGTGACCATGCCAAGGTTAGTACTCCTATATATTGCTTTGGAAATTCAAATATTTGGGCTTTAATAGATGATAATGGAATGGTGGAGCCCATTCCGTTATCATTAATAAAATGTTATGCTGCGGATTGCGAATTTCAACATCAAATTCCAGCCCAAATATCTGGGAGGGGGGATTGTCATTAATGTAGACTACCAGTCTCATTGCTAACAATATACCCTGTTAGGTCGGCCTCCACGTGGTCCCTACTGGAAACCATCATGCTGAATTCTTAGTCAGGTGATCCTTTATCATTACGATGAGCTAACTGCCTTTTCATTCTAACCTATCATCCCTCACTGGTGCCCTACCAGTGTATACCGTTGGAAACCCATCAAAACTCTTTAGGGGGCTAAAATAGACCAGAATCTTCAGGATATACAGAATTTTTAAAATGAATGTTTTTCTGTCCAGGCCTTCGACGCGGTGTTCTTCATCTCGGCCACGGAGAATGACGGGAAAGGTGTCTACGTTATATCTGGTTGCGAACGTCGACCAATGGGCATGTGCAATGGACTATTCTACATTGGGGTAAATACAATAATATCTTGTCGTACAGTCCATTTCAATAGAACTCAATGAAAAGATAAACAAATTCTGTTGAAATTATTACAGAAACACTATAAATAAAATAGTAATAAATTGAAACATTTAAATAATTAGAAAGAAAGAAGAAAGTAAGAAGAAAAGAAGAAGAAAAGAAGAAGAAAGAAAGAAACTTTATTCTACAGAAATATGCGACTACACCCACACAGGGGTTAAAAAAAACAAAAATATTAAGAATTATAACAACAAAACTACACACAATATTTATATATTAATCATTTTTTATTTATATATATTTAATTAATCTTTTTTTTTTTTATTAAAATTGAACATTTTTAATAAATTGAACAGTTACCAGGCAAAGGTCTATTGTGCAGTAAAAAAATACCGGACACCGTACTATTTGGCGCTCAAATAGGAGAATTTGGCGCCGAGGGAATAAAAATGGCGCCCGTCGAACCTATGAAGAAATGGACTGTTTCATACAAAGGACAAATGTGGTAAGTATTAACAAATTTTGTAATATCATTTAAATTATTGTTTTCGAAATAAATATGAAAAGAATAAGAAGGAACACGCAAATAAAACTGTATGGTATGGTAGGAACATAGAAACTATATACCTTTTACAATTGACAAACTAAATACAGATACGTTTTCGCTGCCACATACTTGAGATAGAATGAGACAGCGACGTCTTTTTTTATGGATGAAAATGGTATGGTAACCCCGCCTGCGCTGACGGGATACGCTGGCGGAGCACCAGTGAAGGGTGATAGATGAGAATGAAAACAGGCCAGTTAGACCATCATGATGAATTCATCAGAAATTAACCATGATAAAATACCAGGGAGAACTTTGAGGAGGTCGACCTGATTGGGTATATTGCTAGCAATGGGATTCTCAGTCTCCATTACTAACAATCCCTTTTCCCCCAGACAACGACGTCTGTATAGGCGTTTTTAAGAGCGGCAAGCAATCCGCGGGTGGTACACCCCATAATTGACTGGTGCTAACCCCAGGATACAGGGGGCAGGGATTATTAGTAATGCGGACTACTAGTTCCATTGCTAACATATCCAAATATAACCCTATCAGGTCGACCTCCCCGTGGTCCCCCCTGAAAACCATCGTGCTGAATTCCAGATGTATTCTTCACGATGGATTAACTGACCTGCCTTTTCATTCTCACCTATCATCTTTCACTGGTGCCCCGTCAGCGTATACCGTTAGCGCAGGTGGATTTACCATTCCATTATCATCCATTAGAAAAAAAACCCAGGATATAAGCGAAGCATTGTGCTTGGCGCAAAATCATGGCTGATTAATAATAAATATGAAAATTTGTAACGATGGATGGATGTATATTTCTTACTCTTTCACGCAAAAACTTACTAAACTGATTTGTATGAAATCTGGTACACAGGTAGTTTATATTCTAACTTAGCGCCCAGGACGCTTTATGTACTGATTCACGCGGCCAAAACCGCGGTACACAGCTAGTCATAAATATGCCAATGATCATCTAATGCCTTATTTTATCCATTTCCCCTATTTTATGACGGGAAATATCAATAGAAAATGTATGAATAATTATTTATAGGTATCAAAATGAGCCGAATAAAAACGTGGACGTGGACTTCGAAGGAGAGTGGACCGCCATCAGCAAACATTTCGACTTCGATACGGATCTATACCCGGCTACCGTCATTAGGTCCATAGCGAGGGAAAAGTGGAGTAGGGATTATTTTGAAAGACTGAAAACGTAAGTGACTTGGTATTTTTATTTAAAAACTTTTGTCCGTGATTTCGACCCAAATACATTATAACCTTCAAGAAAAGAGCATATTCCTTTTTAAAAGGCTGGCAGCGCACCTGCAACGCTTCTGGTGTTGTGGGTGATCGTCGGCGACGGTAGTCACTTACCATCGGGCGAGCCGCATGCTCGTTTGCCCCCCTGTGTTATAAAATAAAAGAAATGATAGGATTTTAGTATTCATCTGAGTCTAGATAAATAACTCTATTATAGAACGAGTAAAAAGTCAATGAAATAGATTTAAGATGACCTATCAAGGTAAAACGTATAACAAATTTCAAGTTAAACCTGCAAGAATACAGTAGAGAGAATTTGCAACGTTCATGAGTGGCGACCCCGTATGAGCAAACGCAGTATAGGACGACCCCCCAGTAAATGGAATGGGCGACCTCAAATTCATTGCATGGAGTCAGTGTATGCAGGTGGCTCAGGACCGTTCCTTATGTCTATTATTATTAGAGAGGCCTATGTCCAGCAGTGGGCAGATAATGGCCGAGATAATTTTACATTTTTTATCGATCCAGCTAATAAGAGAAATTAATATACTCGAGTGAGTCGAGGTACCTACTATTTTCACTTAAATATTTGTTTCACAGAGCTCATCAGTCTCACTATGAACAGTTTGGTGTCTTGAAGTGTAAATTTAAAATAGATACAGAAATATTTGAATACACGTTGCCTTCTTTCCGGGACCACAGTTTTGGTGAGTATTGATTTTATGTTATCTGCCTTCACATACACACACACACACACACACACACACACATATACTGATTTATACACAACGCCATCTAGTACCAAACTAAACAAAACTTATATTATTTATTTACTCATTAGTACATATATGTGTACATGGCGGACTTAATGCTTAATGCTAAAATATTTAATAAGAACGACAAATCTCGATTCCAACGCCATCTAATATTTCTTGTTAAATTCTGTTTATTGTTTATTTTAAAAATAATTATTAGCAAAAGAGAAGAAGAGGTTCCCAAGTCGAAACCACCATCACAGCAGTACAAAGACCACGCCTCACTTACATAGGAGAGGCTTAGCTCCATTGACCCGAGGATTGTTGCCCCCGGAGTTGAAGCCGGGGTGAAAGGGTTCACCGATAGGCTCCCACCAAGCCCTCCCCACCAGGAGAGCTCAGAAGACCAAGTTTATTGATTGACCAATCAATATTTTACGTATACTTAGGGGTATACGTAATATTGATTGGTCAATTATTATTTGATAACAATATCCCTAATTTATTTTTGGTTTCCGAAGGCAATAAAATGAACTAACATTACAGGGCAAAAACGTGACTGGAGTCTAATGCATCGTTACGCATTTCATCACATCTTCCTCAAGAACGGCATCAGTGTCAGCGTTGGTGTCATCAGTCAACCTTCGACAGCTTCGTTGTGAGTATAGAATATCATAACAAGGCTCCATGCTCATCTCCTTCATCACGTAATAAAGAGCACTGGTGATAAAATATACCCTATAACTAGGGTAAAGCATAAGATGCTATGCCTGGAATGTTTCCTATTATTAATTCTAACGTTGTTATTGGATTTTTTTATACAACTTAGAATGGCAAACAAGCTGACGGCCCACCTGATGGAAAGTGGTAACCGTCGCCTATAGACATGAGCAGTACCATGGACATAACAGAGTATACTGTTTCGCCCATGATACCCTGAGGACTCAGGTGTTATTCCTCTGTACCCAGTAGAGTCACGCCATATCCACCCTTCAAACCGAAATACAGCCATGCAAACACAACTGCTTTACGGTTGAAACACGAATGGGACAGAGGTATCCAAGCAAACGACTTTAATATTGGAATGGTAACACCGCCTGTGCTAACGGTATATGCTGGCGGGGCACCAGTAAAGGATGATAGGTGAAAACAAAAATATAGCCCATTGTGATGAATAGACTTGGGATTTAGCATGATGATTTCGGGGAGACCACGTGGAAGTCATAGTATATTGCTAAGAAGCATATTGCTAGCAATGGGACTGGTAGTCCCTTCCCCTCGGTCTCTACCGTTGTAGACCAAAACCTGAGTTGTCCCTTTATATTTTATCTAGATTTTTTGGATCTAGAAAATGTTAACGAAATAAAAAAAAGAAGTTTAGATGTAAAGAGGACGTTTAATTATTACGTACAGCAATTTTTGAATATTTTGATCCCCCCTACCCCCTTCTAACGCTATCTGTACATCCTTCCTCTTGCCTAAACGGTACATGACCACCCAAAAGACCATTTTCACCTAAAATTCCCAACACTAATGAATACTGACAAAGAAAACAATGTACAAAACAATCGAGGGATACTCCGTAAAACATAAACGGAAAGGGTTGCCAATTTGGAACATTTTAATTCCCTAGTTTTTTATTTAAATAAAAAAAAAACAATATTGCGTAACGCAACATAACGTTTTTAAAGATATCCCTCCAAATTGCTTTACGTAACACTCGAACGTCACCAAAGATAAATCAATTGGAATCAGATGGCTTGGTATAAACTGCACAATCGTCTACAATGATTTTTAAACTCACTTTAATTCTTGGTAAATTACAGTTTCGAAGCTGGTGAAGTAGCGTTACCCAATGGAAAAGTTCTGCCTATCAAATGGGTAGATCTCAAACTGTACCAACACGGGGAGGGAGGACAGGCTCCTAGGGACTACGCCTTCAGATTTCAAGCTGGTGATGAAGTGTTTACAGTTCAGGTATTTAATTCTACAATAGTATAATATTTCTAAGATCTCTTACATTTTGCAGGAGATTTCCGAATGTTAATTCTACAACCAGACTTTATGTGGTATATATTTGCTATAGGTTCTCGTCGAGTACGAGTCAGTCCACTACGTTTCTGACGATTGGGAAGCTCGGATGGTGGAGAGGTTTTGCAAGTTTATGGTGAACGGTATACCTGGCAGGGGCGTCTCAGAGTTCCACTACAGGCATAAAGAAGGCCGGCCGGAGACTGTCGCGAAAAACGATCCGGAATGGTTCCGGAAAATGTCCCATAGAATATAATGCCAATGCCTCCATCGAATGTTTTGATAAATGTTATATTTTTAAATTTTTTTATTTAATTATTAAACCTTTTCATAATTAAGTGTTTTTTTTTTTAATTTATAATGTACATAACTTATTTTATTTAATATATCATGGACTTTTTTTCTAACGGGTGATAATGGAGTGGTAACCCCACTCGCGTAATCGGTATTATACCAAGGAGTATCAGTGGAAGATGATAGGTGAGAATACAGGTCAGTTGGCCCACCATGATGAATTCGGCAAAAATAAACCACGATGGTTTCCAGGGGGAACCGAATGGAGATCGACCTGAGAGGATATATTGCTAGCAATGGGGCTATTAGACCTCATTACCAATAAGATGGGTCTATCCTCGGACACATTGCGCAGATTGTGCAGTGAGAAATCGCAATTTATAGAACATCTAACTACTGGTAAAACCCCCCAAGGGGAGGCTTCTGTAAAGCAGTGCATCCCTTCCTTACCGGTGCATGTCGTAAGAGGCGACTAATGGCATTTCATGGTCGAGGGATAGGCAACAGCGTCCTTCTTAAAATATCAACAAAACCTACCTGCAGTTGTCAACCCGTCTCTCAAGCATGGCGACTTCTGGCAAAACTCCATAAGAGGGAGGTTTATCTTTAGCAATGGACAGTTAATTGCTGATATGATGATGATGAGAGGTACTACGAGTTCAAGGCACTTTCTCCCACGCACAAACACTCTTTGGAATCAACTTCCAGCAGCAGTATTTCCGAACCGATACGACAACATAACCTTCGAGGAAAGAGCATATTCCTTTTTAAAAGGCCGGCAGCACACCTGCAATGCCGTAGGTGTTGTGGGTGACCATGGGCGGCGGTAGTCACTCACCATAAGGTGAGCCGCATGCTTGTTTGCCCCCTGTGTTGTAAAAAAAAAACTAAAGATCTCAGAGTCATGGATGCAAAAGTTATAGATGCAAATTTTAAAATAACAAAATTAATATTTTATCTTTAGATTCAAACACAACAAGGAAACTCAAAGCAAATAATTCTATAGCTCTGAAATCATCCATTATATGTCAATCAATCCATCAATACTAATATTTTGATTGCTTCTTAATGGATATAAACCAAATCTAACTATGACAAAGCTCTCTTCATGACAAAGGTCACTAACTTCCATTTCCATTGCTGCAGCATAAGATAATGATTTTTTTTAAGTTTTATATAAATCTTCAATGGATAACTGACTATAAATGTTGCCGATTTACCCTAGTGATGTGCCGAGTCCGACTTTTTTGGTATTAAATTATTTTGAGACTAATTAAAAAAATACCGAATCCTTACTCGAATTAGAAGACTCGTATAAGTAGTTCAGTTATTTGATTCGAATAATAATTCAAATTATTGTATCCAGTGATAGATAAGGATAAAAAGGCAGGTCAGTTAGCCCATCGTGATTAATACACCTGGAATTCAGCACGATAGTTTCCAGGGGGACAACGTGGAGGTCGACCTGACAGGACATATTGCTAACAATAAGACTAGTATTCCGCATTACTAACAATCCCTTTCCCCCCACTGCCGGTACGTTACAAGTTATTAGTTTTTTTTTTTTTTTTTTAATTAAACGCCTGTGCTATCAGTATACACTCGCAGGGCTATCAGTGAGGGATAATAGATGAGATTGAAAGCTCTATAGCTCTAAGGTGAAAATTGGCTTATTTTGGCTAATTCATTAAAAATTAATCACGATCGTTTCAAAAAGAAACCAAGCAAAAAACTAATTTATAAGGTATATTGCTAGCAATGCAGACTAACATCCTCATTACTATTTAAAATTCCTTTGTCAAAGGCCGGCAGCACATGGCATGGGCATGGGCATCGGCATGGGCGGCGGTAGTCACTTACCATCAGGTGAGCCGCATGCTCGTTTGCCCCCTGTGTTGTAAATAATAATAATAATAATAACTCTTTCCTCCTATTCACTGTTAGTAGTGTCGATATTTTGACACGCCATTTTGACAGTGACATCACGAATATATCCTCGTAATAAGTATTCGAGTCAGTACTCGAATGAGATTGTGTCGGCACATCACTAGTTTACCTCGACCTTGGTCATCTAGAGAACGTCCTTTCGCTGCCCCAATTATGTCGCTAATCGAATTGACTGGCTGCGGACTGCGAATGGAATAATTGCGCACGCGCATCCTATCTGCATACATTGGGTGATCAAAAATATTATTGGATATCGACTCGTTTATCTTACGATTAGTGATTTCATGTAATAAAAAACTAAGATTGACATCAATGGAACAATTGAATTTTGTCCCATCAATATGGGCAAAACCAGACGTTCTGACTTAAAAACCAATTTTAGTCCGTCTGTACCTTAATAATAATAAATGTTATGTATATTCAGTATTTATAAGTAAGCATACTTCCATATAATTTTAAATTAAATCCTATATGAAAGGCTCTCGCTGAAAATCAGCGCTGTAGCTGCTCGGCTGTAGCGTAACGCTGAGCGGGGATTTCAGCAAACATTGCGTAACACCTTCACCTCCTATACATGTTATTTTACTCTGTATGAACCTTTTTTTGTAAGTGTAACAATATTTGCTGAATAAACTATTTATTTTTATTTCTATGGGTCCAATCTAAAATATATGCTTTTAGGTAACAAGAATTTTACAAATCAATTTATAAATGACGGAGTATATTAAAGTAACAAACATAAAAAAGAGAACTTTAGAAGAAGTGTCAAGAACGTTTAAAACTCAATATACTTACATATATAGTATGCATAAAATAAAATACTAGTAACTACATAATGTCTGTACATAGTAAACAATATTGATATAAGAGATCTTAATAAGAACAACAGCCGCCAAAGCAATAATTTTTAGAATATATGTCTGTCTGTCTGCATATTTGTTCCAGCATCACGCAAAATCTACAACACCAAATATAGGATACCAAATGTACTCAAAATGACGGCTCATCTGATTGAAAATGGTTACCATAAACCACCAGAAACATCACAGAATATACTGTGACTCACATGGAACTTCATGCTTTACCAGTTATGCCTCCCCGCCCTGTAATTTCCCTGCCAAATGCCCACCATTCAAACCGAAACAGCCAGCATATATAGTTGTCTTCACAGCAGAAACACGAGTGGGACAGAGTTACCCAAGCTGACGATTTTTTTATATAAAGTCTTCTTAACCCTTCTTTGCATAATGGTGGAAATTTCCATCATAACATTGAATGCCCAAAAATTATATAAAAAAAAACAAGTTCACTTTAAGTTGATCGTGTTTCGATACCTTTTTAATGTCCATTGCAGAGAAAAAGAACATAGCTGTCAAATTTATTTTTTTAACCATTTTTCCTTTAATTTTGAACATGAATTATATCACCTTGATTTATTTCACCAATAAAAAAATCATGAAAGAAAAGTTAATCTTTTGTAATGTCTAACTTAATTTCTGGTGTATGTATGTATCAGCCGTTACCTGTCCACTGCTAAACATAGCCTCCCCCATAAGGGCGTTTCGCCAGAAGTTGCCATGCTTGGCAGACGGGTTGACAACCGCCGTTTGGATTTTGGTGATGTTTCAAAAGGGACACTGCTATCTGGCGTATTTCTTATGTCGGTACGCCATCTAGAAATAGAATAGTCTAATTTATTACTGTTAAAGTTCCTTTGCATGCTATATAACTAAACTAATATAATAATATAATGTAAAACTAAATGTCTAAATGTTTATATATACGTTGGGCACATATATATGTGCTATATGTACACGCTATATGCTAACACTAACTTTGTCTTTATTTAATTAACAGTTTTATTCATTCTACTGGAACGCTAGCGCCTCTGCCTTGAGACGGTGGGCGTTGACAGCCACGACACAGTTATTTTAACTACTGTGGCTGTTATCGTACACTACCCTACAAATATAATTTAATAAAAAAAAATACGGTTCCAATAAATACATTATTAAATACATAAAAAAAAGTTGGTAATTTTTTTTGTCTGTATTTAACTACACTTTGTACAAAAGTCGTTTGCTTGGATTCCTCTGCCCCATTCGTGTTTCAACCGTAAAGCAGTTGTGTTTGCATGGCTGTGTTTCGGTTTGAAGAGTGGGATATGGCGTGAATTTACAGGGTACAGAGGAATAACACCTGAGTCCTTAGGAATGGCAACGCATGGGGGGTATCGTGGGCGAAACAGTATACTATGTTATGTCAATGGTACTGCTCATGTCTATAGGCGACGGTTACCATTTTTCATCAGGTGGCTTGTTTGGCTTTCTAAGTTGTATAAAAAAAAACAAAAGATCGAACTAAAATTAATCACCCTATATGTTACATTGTCCAGCATTAAGGGTCCAACAAGTATACGCAGTTGATTTATTGTTTGTAAATTTATCAGTACACAGTAACACGCGGTACTGTTCGGTGGTCAACAATACATAAATAAATAAATAAATTATTTGTCTATTCAAATTGAAGTATTAAAAAAGTTAATAAAAAAGTTTTTGATGTAACTAACGAGGTAAGTCTATTTTCCCTCAAAAAAAAAACAATTATAATTAACATAATTATATATTCTATATTGCACTTGAAAAAAAAACATACAGCGATTAGTTTAACAACTTGTTAGCAAGGGGGGAAAGGGATTGTTAGTAATGGAGACTGAGAATCCCATTGCTAGCAATATACCTAACCAGGTCGACCTCCTCGCGGTTCCCTCTGGAAACTATCATGGTTAATTCCTGTTAAATTCATCATGATGGGCTAACTGGCCTGTTTTCATTCTCATCTATCACCCTTCACTGGTGCTCCGCCAGCGTATCCCGTTAGCGCAGGCGGGGTTACCATACCATTTTCACCCATAAAAAAAACTTGTTAACAAGGGTGGGCTTATCTCTTAAACAGATCTCTTCCAGCCTCAACAATGTGCTAGATTAAAAGTTTAGGTATATTTAATTACTTCTAGCTAAATTTTGAGATAAAAGATACTCTCATCCTCATTATCATTTCAGCCATTATCCGTCCGCTGCTAGACATAAGCCTCCCTCATAGACTACCATAAAGAACAAACCTGAGCCACCTGCATCCATTGACTCAGAAATGCATTTCAGGTCGTCACTCAATCTAATGAGGGGATCGTCCTATACTGCGTTTACTCATACGAGATCGCCACTCAAGAAGCTTTCATCCCCATCGATTGTCGGTTCGAACTATGTGACCAGCCCATTTGCCACTTTAGCTTATTAATCCTTCAAGCTGTGTCAGTTATTTTGGTTCTTTTGCGGATATCCTCGTTTCGGGTTCTATCGCGCAAAGAGAGTCCAAGCATAGCCCTCTCCAAAGCCCGCTGAGCAACTTGAAGTTTTTGCATACAGGCAATCTTGTAGGACCATGTTTCGGGTGCACAAATCATCAAAGATGTTATGATTAATATAAAATACAAAAAGTTGCCTTATATAAAAAATAAAATGCCTTACATAGAAATAAGGTATTGCAGTATTGTTTATAATTTTGTCGATTCATACCAATCGTTACCTATTCACTACTAAACGTAGGTTTCCCTACTGGAATTGCGTTTGCCATTGAAAGAGTTTGCCAGTAGTTGCCATTCTTGACAAGCAGGTTGACAACCGCAGTTAGGCTTTAGTAATGTTTTAAGAGAGATGCTGCTGCCCATCCCTGGTCCGTAAAGTTATCTTAGTCACTTCTTTCGACACCTACAGGAAAGGAAAGGGTGGCCCATTCTATGTCGGGACCACGCGGCTATAATTTTGCCTATTATTACCTAATATTAATAATACTGCCTAATATAATGTTGTCCTAGATTATATAGAGGGAATGTCTCCATACGAATGCCTCTAGAAAAGCGAGTCCACTTTTTCAAACAATTTTGCGTGATAAATAGTTACGAGTGATTCCTTTATAACTTCTATATTTATATCTTTTTAATGCGCAAAAACTCATTTTATTTATAAAATCATTAAATATAGATACGTCAAGGTACAATGTGTGCGTAAACACTAATAAAACACTAATAAAAAAAAAAGAGTCAATTAATTAGCTAACAAAAAGTTGACCCGTTTCACTCCGTGGCTTGATGCTCTATCTATATAATCTAAAAGTGTTGTTATGTACTTGTGAATAATTTTTGTCCTGACGATCCTTACTGACTAGTAGTGCTATTATCCAATTGATATTAATTTATGAATATGTAGGTTTGTAAAGATTTTCGGATGTTTATGTGTTTGTTGTTCCATCACTCTTAAATGCCTGAATGAATTTGAATAAAATTTGGTACACGAATAAGTTATAATATAATATAATAAGTTTTGTCCCGCTCAGTGATCATATCCTGGACACGCAGACGAATCCGCAGGCAAAAGATAGTCAGTAAAGAAATGATGATTTAAAATAAATTGATTATCAGGACCGAAATGGACTTCGACGCTATCCTAGAAGACGTTGGCGGCTTCGGTCGATACCAGAAACTAGTGATTTACCTGATACTCCTACCAGCCGTGATACCCTGTGGCTTTCACGCGTACGCGCAACTGTTTATGTCAGCTAATGTCGAACACTGGTGCCGAGTTCCAGAATTGGACCATATTTCGGATTTGGGATTAGTGAAGAATTTAAGGTAGGACTATATATTTTTAAAAGGTGATAATGAAACCATAACCCCTGCATAACATCTGCGCTATCGGTATACACTGGCGGGGCATCAATGGTGAGGATATGTAAGTATATATTTTCAGATAAAAAAGAATTTTCCAGAAAAGAAAAACATGAAAAATACAAGCGAATTGAAAACATCCATCTTTTTGGAGTCGACGAAAAAGACCTATTCCGTTTGGAATTACTGTCAGAACACAATTTATTATTCAATTTACACATTTTACAGTATACCAATGGAACTTAGAAATGGAAACACGCAATATTCTGAATGTAGCATGTACAAGCTGAATTACAGCGATATTTTAAGAAATCACGAGAGTCCTACTGAGGCAGCTACAAAAGTAACACCAAAGGATACAACGTCGTGCAAAAATGGCTGGAGTTACGACAAGAGTATTTACAAAAACACAATCGTCTCTGAAGTGAGTAATATAACAGAAAATAATTTTTAAATATATATTTTGGATGTTTAGATTACATAAATAGAGCATCGAGTCTCAAAAACGGATCAACTTTTTGTCGGCTAATTGTCAAATTAATTGATTCGTTTTTTTTATTAATGTTCTATATAGATACGCGCATAATGTATCTTGATGTATCTATATTTATTTTATTTAATAAATAAAATGAGTTTTTACGCATTAAAAAGTTGCAAAAATTATAAAACAAAATAAATATAGAAGTTATAAAGGAAACACTCGACTATTTATCACGCAAAATTGTATGAAAAAGTTGACCCGCTTTTCTCGAAGCATTTGTTTGGAGAAACACTATCTACATAATCTAAGCTTGGATACTACTAATACTTAGCATAATTTATAAAATTAATATTGTACAAACTATAATACCCAAGAGCCCAATATATAGATATCGGTTCGGTATCTGTATTACCCATGACTAGTACCATGCAGTTTTTTTTTTTGTGACTTTAAATTAAACGGAAAACAATTATACCTGATGGAAAATTATAACATATAGACATAAAGAAACATCACAAAATAGACTTTGACGCACACGCTACCCTTCTCGCGTAACCATTTCTGAACACCTATAATAATTGCATTAATTCCTATCTCTTACCATATACATACCATAAATCCTTTTGAGCTATAAAAAGAAATTATTAATAGTTATGTTTCTGCGTAACCCATTGATATTTCATTTCCAGTGGAACTTAGTCTGCAGTAAAGATTTTTATCCAACATTTGGCTTGGTTCTCCTCGCTGTCGGTGGAATTGTAGGCAATTATATCTTTGGCTACCTCCAAGATACAATAGGAAGGAAGCCATCTTTCTTCATCTACCTCTTAATAGAATGCGTGTTTGGCGTAGCCACTGCATTCGCGCAAAACTATGTGGTATGGACCATTTACAGAGTTGGAGTTGGATTTACTGTTCCCGCTATCATGGCCACACCATATGTTTTAGGTAAGTAAGGAACCATCTAATGAAAAACTAAGAAAAGATCAGAGGGCATGCCAGTGCCTCCGCCAAGCTAAGCACGGCCGTACCATCCTTTTCTCGCAGCATCACAACACAGCACTTTTAACCCCCTTACACGGCACCTTATTCTAATAATAAAATGCACATTTTAGACTTCTACTTAATAATCGAAACAGTAGATTTTACTACCGATAGTACCGTGCAGTTGCCAATTCGTTGTAATTATTATAGAAATAAAGATTCTTAGAGATTCTAGAAAAGATAGATTCTAGATTATAGAAAAGAATAAATGTCTATATGTAATTGATTAGATGACAATTTGAACAAAATTGTTCAATAAGTGTCCAACTAAAATAACCGTCTTGGTTTTACGTGAGATCTCACAACTTTATGTAGTGAAAGAACTACTTTACAAGACTTGGCATTATTATACATTTTATGTTTTTAAGATCATTTCTTTTTAAATCTAAGTGACAAAATTTTTGTGATTCTCATAATTATCAGAAAATTTGTCGAGCACATTACAATATGGCAAAGCATGGAATGTGAACATTCCGAATGCTTTAATTATCACAACGGCAACCGGCAATTAATGTCTCTGAGTACTAATTTACTTATTAATTTTTTGTTAAATTTTTCTTATAGATAACATGTCCTTTTTGGTAACTATCACGAACGAAGCATGTCTTTTTTATATTTTTCATTTGTTTCTTTGGGATTTTAGATAGATTTGGAAGAGATGAGGGCAATAGCGTCCCTCTTAAAACATAACCAAAAGCGTAACTGCGGTTGCTATCCCCGCAACAACTGGCACTCCCCCCCCCCCCTCTCCCTCCTCATCGTCATCGATCGGAGATCTATGTTCAGCAGTGGACAGTTAAAGGCTGATATGATAATGACTTATTTCTTTGATTTTTTTTTACAAAATTAAACTATATCCAGATGTGCAATTAGGCTTCTCGACCTGTTAACTTAATATTAAAACTGTCCATATTTTTGTTATGTTACAGCGATAGAACTAGTGGGACCACGCTGCCGGACTCTGTGCACTATTTTATCCAATATTGCGTATTCCATGGGCTTGATACTATTGTCTGGAGTGGTATACTTTGTGAGAGATTGGCGACATCTCGCGTTAGCCACCACTTTGCCATTTGTTTGTTTCTTTCTTTATATTTGGGCGATGCCTGAGAGTCCCAGGTGGTTACTGGCAAGAGGCAGATTCGAGGAAGCTGAAATAATATTGAAGAACATGGCAAGGTTAAATTACTTCCTCTAACGAATTTTTATCGATCCTAAAATTGCTAAATTTAACAAAATTGGTCGGGCGATTGTGATTTTAACCAGAATAGGGAATGTTACTTGAAAGGAATAATTGCTTTTGTAGCTTGTAGATTTTTACAGCAAACAAGCATAAAACTAGGAAGCATAAAACTAGCCTGCAAGACTAGGATCATCTCCATACTCTAGTCTCTAGGGAAAACCTCGGCAGGGAGCCGCACTGTACATGACCATTTAGGTTCAAGCATGTAAGGATGAATTCCCTGTCGATAGCAAACGGTGCGATCATAAAAGGTGGCTATAGGCATCATTTCAAACAATTTCTCAGAACACAAGCAGTAGAACACACAAAGGTGATTACGATAGAATGACAATATGCCTACTGTAATTATTTATGTCGCATTTACTTACTTTTTAAATTCGAAGATACGCGATTGGTTTCGTACTCGACAGTAACTCTTCTTCATAAGCGCGTTCCACAACACAATACAATGTGACTTACAATATTTATTATTCAATAATATGAATATTGTATAGCTCCACTATATACCTAACTAATACATGTACAATATAGGAACATAAACTCTTGGCTGACATCCTTGACACTACCGTGTGCCTGTTATTTTATAAAATTCTATTTATTATCCATCAGCCCAATGAAAAAAAATATAATCTAAATTGGCTCTGATCAGAAAATTTTAATTTGTACCTTCGTATTCTCGGTCACGCCCTTGATATTCTAAGTCTTGCCTCCAAATTTTCGTTGATTGGTTTTTTATGACATAGGTATCTTCGTTTATGTACTTATTTTATTTTTAGAATTAACGGAAAATCCTTGCCAGCCAACTACATGGTCCATCTTCGACGTAAATACGAATCTGACAAGCTGAAACAGGACATAGAGAAAGAGAAGTTACGTAAATATGGCATTCTTGATCTGTTTCGGACGCCTAATTTGAGGAAGAAAACAATCATCATAACCTTCATCTGGTTCACGAACACCAGTGTCTACGTTGGCCTCTCGTACTATGCTCCAGTACTTGGGGGTGATGAAGTCTTGAACTTCTTCCTAGCTGGCGTTGTCGAGTTGCCCACCTACTTGTTCCTGTGGCCTTCGATGGAGAGATTAGGCAGGAGGTGGACTCTTTGTATGAGCATGGTAGTAGGCGGTGTTGCTTGTTTGACCACATTCTTGGTTCAACATGGTAAGATATTTTATAGTGCCCATAATTCTTTGTATGAATATCACTATTCATAATAATGAATTTAAGAACTGCATTTTTGGCAGTGCAGCTCTTGCCAAAGACCACAATTTTCAGCCAATCTCTTTACCTCTTGATACGACCGACATTAATTGTTTTTTTTTTAATTTGCCCGATGTAACAATGTTTTGGTTTCCCCTTTCCCCTTCTTTCGTCTATTTTACGTTCTATCATAATTTCGTCATAAATTCGTCGTATCGTATCAAATCACTGTAATCAGAACATTTTCAGAAACTAACGTCACCCTGGCACTGTACTGCGTTGGCAAGATGGGCATATCGTCTTCATTTGTGGTACTACCGTTGATGGCGTCAGAACTATACCCAACCGTGGTCAGGGGACTCGGGATGAGCCTCAGCTCCGTCCTCGGCATGTTGGGGCCCATTTTTATACCACTCGTCAATTATTTAGTAAGTTCCTACTGAAAATTATTTTTTATTAATTAATCTACTTTCTAAAGAAGTTTCTCGATTCATCTGATTTTTTTTTATACAACTTAGAATGGCCAACAAGCTGACGGTCCACCTGATGGAAAGTGGTAACCATCACCTATAGACATGAGCCGTACCATGGACATAACAAAGTTTCGCTCATGATACCCCCCAATGCGTTGCCATTCCTGAGGACTCAGATGTTATTCCTCTGTACCCTGTAAATTTACGCCATATCCCACCCTTCAAACCGAAACACAGCCATGCAAACACAACTGCTTCACGGTAGAAACACGAATGCGACAGAGGTACTCAAGCAATCGACTTTTGTACAAAGTCTCCCTTTGGCCTCACATTTCTTTTTACAATCGACGAGGTTTTCTTCCAGGTGGGTCCAATTTTAATTTTTACAAAAACCATCAGCGTTAACTTGTCTATTGTTTAATGTAGACCTATCTCATAAATTACTACAAGGACCGATCCCGAGACTTCCTTGTAGCGGAGTGTATCAATGGATAGAAATAGATCTGTGGGGTATCTATTCCAAGTATTATTGAATTTGAACTATCATACAGACAAAGTCGCAGGCACAGCTAGTGTACAATAAAATACTTAATTCAAAGATTATAAAAACAGTTTTAAAAATTTCAGGGAGCAGACATTATGGTTCTACCACTTATTATAATGGGAGCTTTATTGGTCGCTGGCGGTATAGCTAGCTTACTTCTACCAGAGACTTTAAACCAGCATCTCCCCCAAACTTTGGAAGACGGCGAGAAAATGGGTCTTGACACTGACTTTTGCTGCAGTCCACCAGTCAAAGAAACTAAGCAGGGCAATGACCTGAAATTAAAAGATACACTCGATCAACAGATCTGTAATTCTTGTAACGCCTCATGCACGTGTCGAATGGTCAACGTTCCTCTGTTGGAAAATGTTACTGCGATAATTGAAAAGTAAAATGTTCACTTTATTTAAGTAAATATTTTAATAAATCTAATGAGTATTTTACTATGTTTCGCTTAAATATTCACTTACCTTATTTACTCAGATTTATAGCTCATCATATCATCGTATTAACCGTTAACTTTCCACTGCTGAACATAAGCCTTCCCCATAAGTGGAGTTTTGCCAGTAATTGCCACGTTTGGCAGGTTGCCAACCACAGTTAGACTTTAGTCACTGCTGCCCATACCTTAATCATTAAATTTTCTTAATCGCCTCTTACGACACTCACGGTAAAGGAAGGGGCGGCTTATTCTGTGCCGGGACTGTCCAGCTGGATTTTGTTTATAAATACCACTTAATTATTTATATCACTTAATTTTTTACTACGGCCCATTTTTTTTTTCTTGTAAATAAAACCGAATTATAAAATCCCTCAATATGTTACTTTGTGCCTATTTATTTATTGACTATTATAAAATCAAACAGGATCAACGATATTTTTATCATTAAAAAAATATTCAAAATAAATTTTATTATCCACAAGGGGACGTTCAATTTCTTTTTTAAATATGAAAATAAACAATTACGTACAACTATTAACAACTATATAGTATTAATAAGCTAAATTATTTCATAAACCCTCCCAATCAATCAAACATCTCCAGTATAAAATTTATATATTTATATGCCGACACAATTTGATTTAAAAAATAATTTCTTGTTACTAATACCTAAATCATAAGTTTCTTCCATAATAAATAAAAAAAAACGGCAGTTATTAGGATATTATATACGTTAAGGAATTCAAATCATCTTTATTCAAATGGCTCGTTCAACTCAATCAGTTAATTTATAAATTTTCTTATAGGTTTGGAATATTTTTGTCTTGTGAGAAGAACCCACAAAAAACTCAATTACAAAAAATTACTCTTTCTTAATAAATTTATAATGTTAACACAGCATTATGCCTATTTATTTGAAGGTTCTATATCAAAAATACATTATCACTAAAAAGCTCATACATGACAGATTAACACCATGCACGTTTGTAAATCAAATAATTATTTTGGCTTTGCTTTTGCTTAATACAATTTTAAATTATCATTATACGTTTTATTAAACCGATATTACCTACATAGAATAAATATAATTTAATTCAAGAAATATAAGACTATACGGAGGTGAAGGCTCGGCAAATACCTTTTTTCCAGGTTAGTGAAATATAAAAAAATCTACTGTCAACCTATCAAGTGTCAGTTGTCAATGTCTTGAGACATTTTGGTATGTCAGTATCATATGTTCGGCATTTAGTACCTATTATGAAATAAATAACCAGCAAATTATTAAATACGAACAAATAAAAGAATGGCTTTATCATTTTTTCGATCCAACATAATTGTCAGACATGTTAAACGACAGCTTTACCAGAACAAACGCAACGCGGGTTACCTAGTCCTGTGAGTATAACACTATTGATTTTGTACATTTTAATACCACGCTTAAATATATCCACTAATCGTTGTAAAACTATTATTGTTATTAAATGTTACTATTATTTTGTAATTGTGAAATAACAATATTATATTTACATAAAAAAAACACCACGCTGAATTCAGCGTAATATGGTGGAACAATAGAGCTACCATATTATACCACCAACTCGGCCCGGCTTCGCACGGATGCAATTTATATATAAAAACTATCCATGGTAAAATATCTAAATAACAATCAAACCCATATCCATTACGTAGTACAGAAAAAGTAAGAAGAAAAATGAACAAAAATAATGACTTTTTATATTATTTAAATATTAATTCCAACCTTTAACCTTTTTATAGGGTCTGTACACTCTGTCCGTTATAGCATGGTGTGAGTGACAGACCACTAAAAGCATTGAAAAATCAAAATCATTTGTAAAATTGTAATTAGTATGTAGGAAATAGTCACATTACCTGGAATATGTTTAAAATATGCCCATTTGCTGCATTTTCAATTCATTCAGTGAAATACATGTGACAAAGTCTTTGTTATGATAATTAGGTTGATATTAATTCCAAAAATGTCACTCGATTTGTTTGTTCTTCTATAATTAAAACTGTTAAAATCTCGCCTGCTGATTACACCATACAACAATGCATATACAAATATAATATATTAGAATAGTACTTCTTAAATAGGACTGCCATTCCATGTTTTCACTTTAGGATCCTATTTTATTAAGTATTAGCTTTTACTATGTCTGTGTGACTACAATATATTCACTGCCCGGGAGAAAAGTAGCTTATAACCGACTCCAGGGTCCCATCTATCTCTTTGTCAAAATTCATCATAATCGATTAAGTGGTTTAGATGTGAAAGCACCAAGCACAAACAAATTCATCACTTTTACATTTATTATATTAGTGTAGGATATGATATAGCTAATGGTCAAAAATATTAAATTTCTCTTTTATTTCCTATACATTCTCATGTCTTCAAGTAGCTATAGTTAATAAAACATTGAAGTGTCTTTTCAATTTGTCTTTTCCATCACAAGAGAGTTAGTTGAAAATTTAAATCATACTTAAACTATATATACTTGTTATTATTACAGAATTCCAGAAATAGGTGAAGATGCAGACAAAAATATTTTATTGTCCGACAATGGTCTACCAGAGTTTAATGATATTACAATTGAAAAATGCATAGCTGCTATTAGTAAACAGAGCATGGAATACGAAAGTGGAGTCAAACAAATAGAACAATTCACTCAAAACTGCAAAAATGCTTTCATTGAAATATTCCAACCTCTTGAAAAGCTAGACAGCCAGTTAGAATTAACATGGGGCATGGCAAAGGCACTGTACCTTGGCAATAGCTCGCTGATGCCCACAAAGTCATATATTCAAATACATGAAAGAGCTCACAAAGCTAGATCCTCAAAATTTAACAGTATACCCATTTACCAGGCTGCAGTTGATGAGAAAAATCGATTAAAAAAACTAACAGATGAAGAACAAAGACTTCTGGATAAGTATATACTGGAAGGTAAACTAAATGGATTGGACATAAAAGGTATCAAAAGGGAGAGACTTAACAATGTACTGGGATCACTACAAAAAGAAAAGCAAATTTTCCGTGAAAAAGTCAATGCTGCTAACAAGCTTTTTACGAATACAATAACAAATCCTGATGTGTTAAGGGAGTTTCCTGAAAGTCTTATTAAATCTATGGCTGGAAATAATGATCCAAATAAAGGCCCTTGGCAGGTCACGCTGCAGCCACACATTTATGAACCTTTCATGCAGTATTGCCCAGACAGGAGTTTACGTTGGAATGCATGGCAAGCCAATGTCCAAAAATGTTCAAATTATATCAACAAAGAATTGGAAACAAGCTCGAACTTAGAGAAAATACGCAACTTCCGACAGGAGCAAGCTACAATACTAGGTTTCGACAATTTCGTTGATATGAGTATGGAAACCAAAATGGCAGGATCCATAGAAAATGTTTACAATATGTTGGACAGTTTTCTTGAAACCGCCCTACCGATGCAAGAAGTAGAAATTGAATTGTTACAAAGATTTGCTCATGAGCGTGGTTTCGATGTTAAACTGGAACATTGGGATATACCATATTGGCAGAGGAAACAAAAATGGTCCCTTTACAATTTCGATGAAGATAAAATCCGTGAATACTTCCCACTTCCTAGAGTTATCAGTAACCTTTTCAATCTTTGTAGTAAATTATTTAATATAAAAATTATCGAACGATCTGGTGTCCATACGTGGCATAAAGATGTCAAATTTTACGACGTTTACGACGACTCAAGTAATTTACCCGTAGCCGGTTTCTATTTAGACCCATACGCCCGCCAGAATGAAAAAATACGTGTATATGACGACGCAGGCTGGCATATCTCAGTTCGTAACAAGTGTAAAACCACGTCAACTACACCACTTTCGGCATTAATATTTAATTTCCAAGCTCCCGATGGAAAAAATCAGTCATTGCTGTCGTTTAATGAAGTTAGCGTGCTTTTCCGGAGATTTGGGCATGCGTTGCGTCATTTACTTACTAAAGCAAACTATTCTGAAGTTGCCGGTCTGTCCAATGTGGAATGGGATGCAGCGGAAGTTTGCGGGCATGTCATGACGCACTGGCTCTATGATCCTCACACGATACAAGAGATTAGCAGCCATTACAGATCTGATGAGCCATTACCAGACGATATAATGAAAAATCTTCAAAATGTCCGAAGACATATGTCAGGTTATGAATTATGTAGGGAGCTGTACTTATCAAGATTAGATTTGGAGATGCATTCAAAGAAAACATTCTGGAGAGACCTTGTAAGGGAGTTGTGGCCAAAATACAATGTTTTACCGTTTGATAAATACGATTCACATCCTTTGTCCTTCTCGAAAGTAATATCAGAGGAGTGGGGAGCAGCGTATTACTGTCATCTCTGGTCGAGAATGATTGCAGCTGATATTTATAGCGCATTTGAAGAAGCTAGACAAGGAGAGCAAGATATAGTCACTGTTGGGAAACGGTATAGGGACACATTCTTGGCACATGGAGGCAGTTGTCATCCCAGTGAAGTATTCAGACGGTTCCGAGGACGGGACCCGTCTCCACATGCATTGTTGAACAACCTGGGATTGTCTAAAATAATTGTAGAGGAATAAAACTAGACTATTAGTCGCATATGTATTGTAATTTGATTCCTATTATTATAATTATATTTGGTTACCAATTGATTGTTATTTATATAGATAAATCTTAATTATATCCTAGATGTACATATATAGTCTCTGGACAGAGTGTGGTATAATCATAGATATTTAAATTATCTATATAGAGATGTCGCCATCACCGTATGGTATTGATAGCAATACTCGTATGCCCTATCAGGTCGACCTTCACGTGGTCCCCCCTGGAAACTACCATGCTAAATCCTAATGTATTAATCACGACTTTTTTATACCACTGAGGTGGCAAACAAGCATACGGCCCACCTGATGGTAAGTGGTTACCGTAGCCAACCTGTGAACACCTGCAATACCAGAGGTATTACGCGTGCGTTGCCGACCCTGAAGAAATCTCTTTACCCCTCTTTTGAAGAATCCCATGCTGTAGTCTCTTGGTAAAACCTCGGCAGGGAGCTCATTCCACAACCTGAGTGATCGTGCTAATAAACCTGCCTTTACACCTGGAATTAGGTGTATTAATCACGACGAGTTAACAGACCTGCCTTTTAATTCTCGCCTACCATCCCTTGTAAGTACAGTTGCTTCAGGACAGAAATGCGAGTGGGACAGAGATCAAGCTGCGTCTCCCTCTAATAAAAGATGGCTCGAGATTGTTCTAATAAATGGTTGTAACCTTTGTACAAAAGTCGATTGCTTGGGTACCTTTGTCCCATTCGTGTTTCAACCGTGAAGCAGTTGTGTTTGCATGGCTGTGTTTCGGTTTGAAGGGTGGGATATGGCGTGAATTTACTGGGTACAGAGGAATAACACCTGAGTCCTCAGGAATGGCAACACATGGGTGGTATCATGGGCGACAGTATAATATAAATGTATAACAGTATACTCTGTTATGTCCATGGTACTACTCATGTCTATAGACGACGGTTACCACTTTCCATCTGGTGGGCCGTCAGCTTGTTTGCCATTCTAAGTTGTATAAAAAAAAAGTTATGATTCCATTACGACACACTATTATGTTGGAAGTAATTTATTACATTAATATATAATACTTACTACTATAACAATTATATAATTAAAATTCACATAATGTTAGATTCACATAAAAGAGAAAGAGATATTTTAAATTAAGTATAATCGTTAGTCCGAATCTGGATTCTGTTCCCAAGCTCTTTCCATATCGTACAGGTCTTTCTTAATATTCTCGTCTTCTGGCAAGAGTTTAGTGGCCGCCTTCATCTCGTCAATAGCTTTGCTGAGGTGTCCCAAACGGACGAGTGCAGCAGCTCTGCGAGCGATGCATTTCGCTCGACTCCGGCGGTTACCCTCGCATGCTGGCCTCATTAAGTCCAAAGCTGTCGAGCAATCTGTCAACTGAAGTAGAAATATTAAATATGCATATGGGTATTTTTTTTTTTTGTAAATAATGACAATCAGCCTTATCGCCCACCTGGTATAAGGCAAATGTCGCCTATAGTTATAAAAAACAGCGTGGTGATTACAGAATTAGGCATAGAAATAACAGTAATGACATGCTAAAGTGGGTTACATCTTAGCATACTTGCTTATTTATTGCATATTTGCTTTGTCGGTTGTCATAAATCGTCGCAATTCCTTTTTCTTCTCTCAACAATTCATACTCGTCTAATACGTGCATAAGATCTTGCCACAGACTCAAAAAGTATAGTAGATTGTGCATCTGTGGGTTTGACAGATGACACAAAGAGGCTGTTGTCTACGGGATGACGGAGCATTATTTTCATGTTTTTCCCCGACGCGAAGGCGACCCAAAATTTATAACTGTGTTTTTCGTTCCTGGGATTAACACCGTAAGTTTTGTCTGATTTCTAATACTGTAAATACATTCAGCATTAAGTCCTCCAATGTAATCTATGTTAGCTAAAAGGAGTTTAATAAAACTCCAAGTAGTATCAGCCTTCTGACTCAACCATGTCAAAAGCAACCTGGTCCTCGTTGAGAATGTCCAGGATCTCAATGTAGCATTGCCAACGAGCTCGTCGTTCTGTTATAAGGGCAGGGATCGCTGCAAGAGGTGGTTGAAGGTGACTGTTCAGACTACTCAGAACTCAGAGGTTGTGTGTTCCACTGTCTAAGGTCGTGCGGTGCAGCCATGGTCCACCACCCGCACAATGTGTAGTGTCTCGCTGGTTGAGACCAGCTGCCTGCTATATAGCTCAGGGTGATGACCGCTTCAAAATCTAATCCTGTTCAGTTGTGCAAACGAAATGTGACCTAAAGCTACTTAGTCAAACCCTACAGTCATCTCCTCGTCATTGCCTGGTAGAGGCACAGCTTTAACGACACCGGTTCGTACACGTCTACAAAGAGATTTTTTTTAACGGGTGAAAATGGAATGATAACCCCGCCCGCGTTATTGATATGCTGGCGGGGCACCAGTGAGGGATGACAGGTGAGAATGAAGCAAGCCAGTTAGCCCATCGTGACGAATTCAACAAAAATTGTTCACGATGGTTTCCAGGGAGAACCACGTGGAGGTCGATCTGATAGAGTGTATTGCTAGCAATGGGTTTATTAGACCCCATTACTAACAATCCCTTTCCTCCCACTACAAAGAGATTAATTTCTACTTATTTTTTACCAATCCCCTGATTCTCAAACTAGCTGTGTTATGAGTCATGAGGCAACCAACATCTGGGGGCACAACGGAGAACACTCAGACCCGAGACAATCCTGAAAAGTCGATCGGGAATCAAACTCGGGTACTCAATTACATAATGCAAAGTGCTCACCACTACGCCACCGAGGTCGCGAAAACTTACATTATATGATACAAACAACAAAGTAAACAATATAAGTTACTCACACATTTATTAAAGTTGCCAAGTGCGAAGTGTGTGGCGGCTCTGTTGGCGAACAAGCTCGGGAGTTTGTCCGACAGTGTGATGCCGTGGGAGTATGCGCTTATTGCACCCAGAAAGTTGCCCGCGCGAAAAAACTGGTCACCCTTATCCTTACACCATTGAGGATCCTGTTCCTCCGGGCGAAGATCTTCAGACACGAAACCTAAGGAAAATAATAACAGACTGATTATTTTTCCGTATTTGTAGGAAAAAAAATGATTTCAATAGATGGAATTGTTGGAAGTACAAAATGTGCTAAAAGCGTATTTTGTCATTGAATTTCTAAAACTGAAAGGAAACGTACCATTTTTGGAAAAAGTCATATTTGAGAAAAGTAGTATTTAAAAAAAGTAAAAATAGTTTTCGCATGTTTCTAAAAAAAATTAATCACTTGCTTGTAACTTTTCTTTGTTATCAAATACTACTTAAGTAAGAATTTACAAATCACTTCTATAAGAAAGCAATAATTACGTCAACAAATCTGAACCAATTTTGATCATTGTTTTTGCAACTATTAGTCTTTAGACCCATATTGGTCTCATAATAAACTTTATGATAATATTTTTCTTTAGGAATCAAAATGTTTGTTGCCATCAAAATTCACTTGTATTAATTTAGAACGTGGGATCAGGCGTTTATCTGATTCCACATTCTAAGTTTAAATAGGTATTTTTAATCTAATGTAGATAAATAACGGATTTGTAGACACGTCGTTCATTGACGTTGCTACGAGTCTTTTTTTTTTTGTAGAGTTTTACTCTTGTAGCTCCAAAACTTAGCATAATTTAGACATTTAAATGAAATACCTGACTACATAGTTAACAGACAGGAGACAATCAAGAACGTATCGGTTCCTAAATTTGTCTTATCTAAGTTATTTACATATATGTAGCTTAGTTATCTACGTATTGATTGAACAACAGCGTAATATAACTGAGCATCTTTTTACCCCTACTCCTCTATACACTAATGTATTAAATATTTTTTCCATGGCGACCTGGCCCCTAATGTATTTTCAGACATATATTTATCGCTGAAAGCTCCACTCCTTAGGTCCCCCCTCTCCCAAGCCAATACTTGCGCTTCTTCTGTATCATTGTCATTTATCGTAATACGTTTTTCTCTTCTGTTCATCTCCGTTTCTGTCACGCCATTATTCACGTAACTGTTTCATTATTCACAATTACAGTAACATTTTATTGAATTCCTAAAGGTTTTCGTAGTCTTCTGATCACTGTTACCTGTAGCTCTTCGAGCTTGAGTAATATTTTTCAGCCAAGTTTCCTCTTCGTTAGCTGTAGATTCCCTGCTGGGGGTGGGGAACGTTCGAGGAGTATGCGTAATTTCCAATTCTGCTGTCTCTCTTAATTTAGGTAACACTCTTCTAGCGACTTCTTCTTTTTTCTTTTCAACATATTCAGATCTCACTGGAGTTTTGACAGGTTTTTTTGGAGTATAATCTACTTTTTTTACCATATTTCTTTCAGCATTGTTTTTTGACTTTAACTTCTTATCGTCAGATTCGTCTTCTGATGAAGGTAACTCGACTATTTTAACACCTGGCATATTTTTCTCCAATTTTTTATTACATGATTTGTTTTGAATTTTAGTATCCGATTCTGCCGTATTAATTCTCCACTCCTCTAAAGCATCCATAGCTTTTTTCCTTTGATCATCTCTCCTAGAATCCATCAAATTGTGCTGCTTCGTATCTATTTCCATTGCCTGTTGCACTGTGAACCTGTCTAGTTGACTCTTTTTAATGTTTCTGTCTTCAACAATTTGTTTTGCTCGTTCCTGGCACTTCTCGTGTATTTCTTGTCTCGTCTTCATTTTTTCTGCTTTGTTTATGTTTTTCTCCAGACATTCCCATTCGCATTCTTCTTTTTTCAATAAATCTAAAATTACCTGATTGTTTTCCACCACACATTTGCTTTTATCATTATCTATATTGTGTAATAGAAAGATTTCAAATAAGAATGGGTTGAAATGTATTTTTATATAAGAATCAGTTGTAAATATATCTAGATTTTCTTTAATTCCAGACGTAATTGGTACTCTTATGTGTAAAGTCTTCGCTGTTTGTGTCCAAGTAAAATCTTTTACTAATATAGGCATTGCTGTTACGTATATTCTAAGCGTATATTATATTGTTATATCTATATAGATTAATTAAGAAATTAAAGTTTTAATTTTATAACTTATAATGAACCTTATTTTGTAGATTAACCTCGCAAAACTTAATTTATCAACTAAAAAATACAATAGAAAAAGTATTTTGTGACTAATAATGAGCAATTTTCAAACAATATGCGTCGCCATGGTAATAATTCCAGTATACCTGCAGGCATAGACTGTATAAGGTAAAAGTGCGTATAAGTCTGCAAGACCGCAGGCACTATACTTAATCTATGATATCGGCTTGTGACATGATAACTTCCCGGTATAAGACGTAGTATCTATAATTTATTTCACTTCCCAAAAGTCGACTAATGGAGAATGTATTTTTTATATACCATTACGTAAAAGTTTAAAATGAATAAATTATTAATTGTTATAAAATGAGATAATAACCTTATTTTTTTAAGGGATATAAATTGAATGATGCCCTCTTCTCCCCCCTCGTGTCCACCCCCTTCATGACGCTATCGGTATACGCTACCTAGTGGTGTGGGAAGGCAAGGGATTGTTAGTAATGGAGACTTAGAATCCCATTGCTAGTAATATACCCAACCAGGTCGACCTCCTCGCGGTTCCCCCTGGAAACTGTCATGGTTAATTCCTGATGATCATCATGATGGGCTAACTGGCCTGTTTTCATTCTCATCTATCACCCTCTACTGGTGCTCCGCCAACGTATCCCGTTAGCGCAGGCGGGGTTACCATTCCATTTTCACTCATCAAAAAAAAAACCTAGTGGTGTGAATGATGGATGATAGATGAGAATCAAGTGTAGTCAGTTGGCCCATTGTGATTATTACACTAAAAATAAATAATCACGACAGTTTCCAGGGGGAGCCGCATGGAAGTCAAACTGATTGACATTCGATAGTCTCGATTATTAACAATCCCCTCCCTCTCTCAGTAATGACATAATTATGTACAAATAGCTACACAATCTCGTCTCAGTATTGTTTTATCTGATTATTTAGTAGTAAAGTTTCTTTGACGCGAACAAGACGTGCGTACATCTTCTCCGCTGAGATTAATAAAGTGCTAAATTGTTATTAGTTTCTAGTTCTATCGACAATTATATTAACTAATGGATTATTTAGGACATTTTAATATATAAAATTATTTGTTTATACATCCGTTGGCTTCTGTTAAACAATTTAATCTTTCTGTTTATGGGAACGTTTTGTAACTCATAAATAAATACAATAAGTATATAAGTAAAACGAGATAAAATCGTCTCTTCTACTAAATAGGTACATAGATAGTTATTTTACATACGTTATTATCTTCAAGAAATATTCGTAAGTTAAATATTTATATTCGTATCGTTTAATTATTCGTTCGTTTTTTAATCAGGATGGCGCAAACACGTGTTGTACGAACAGGTAAGCTTATTTAAATTTAATTTCCTATAAATATTACTTATATTATTCTAATAATTTAATAAATACGATAGTAAATATCCATGGATGGATGGATGTCTATCATATGTATACATTTTTACCAGAAGGAGACTGTACAAAAGTCAATTGCTTGGCTACCCCTGACCCATTCGTGTTTCAACCGTGAAGCAGTTGTGTTTTCATGGCTGTGTTTCGGTTTGAAGGGTGCGATATGGCGTGAATTTACAGGGTACAGAGGAATAACACCCGAGTCGTCAGGAATGGCAACGCATGGGGGTATCATGGGCGAAACAGTATACTCTGTTATGTCCATGGTACTGCTCATGTCTATAGGCGACGGTTACCACTTTCCATCAGGTAGGCAGCTTGTTTTTAATAAGTATACGTACTTAAAATGGCAAACGAGTTAAATGCCTACCTGATGGAAAGTGGTAACGGTCGCCTATAGACATGAACAGTACCATGGACGAACGTAATGCCCATGACACCTGTTTATGGTAAAATAAAGATTTAATAATTTATACCTGCTTTTTAGAATTTTAGACAATCATTACATTAGAATTCATTAGATCATTAATACAAACCTAAAATACCATAAACGTCTTTGTGTTTAAGGGACAATCGTGGAGAATTCCACACGTCAGCTTGTTTGCCAAGTTTTCTAAGTTGTATAAAAAAAAAGAAAAAAATGTGCGGTGGTATTTATTATTTTCCAGTACTGGGAGACGTTGGGCCAGACACCTTGGGATTTACACTGACCCATGAACACATGGCGATGGAATTCCAGCATTTCTATCGTAAACCACCAACGAACATAGAGGAATATTTCGAAACAAATAATATCCGTTTGGAAAATGTGGGTTACCTGAAACAATACCCTTACAGCAGTTACGACAATTTAAATTTAAATGATAAATATGCAAAGACAGCAGTTACAAATGACGTACGTAAATTTAACATATCCGGAGGAGGTAGGTTTGAAATATATAACGTTATTATTATTTTGAAGTAATTTAGCAGAGTATTTATTGTTATATATATATATATATATATATATATATATATATATATATATATATATATATATATATATATATATATATATATATATATATATATATATATATATATTAATTTAATTAGCATGCATAAATACAAAAATTTTATTTATAATAAAAAAATTGGATTTTTAGTACCACTTAAACCTCTTGGGCTTGTGTGTGATACTTTACATTTCGTTCTCAAATGTCAATATTTACATTAATATCCTGCTGTTTTAGCAAGGTTGGACAGTAAATAAGCTTTCAGTTTAAACTTTATGTTTTTAACAGTGATATTGTTTCGCAAATAGAGAATTTATTAATCGCGGTATAAGGTATTTAGACACACTATTCATATTTATATATTTATTAATATATTTAAGTTATACAATGTATTAGAGGCGACATATTTCTCTTCTTACAATTACCAGACAACAACCAGAGAGCATCACTCTACATACATCAAACATATATTAATAAAGTTGCCATATTATGCAATATGTGGATTGCTTTTCCAACATTTATTAATACACTAGCGGATGCCCTAGATTACCAGAGGGAGACTTTGTACAAAAGTCGTTTGCTTGGACACCTCTGTACCTTTCGTGATTCTACCGTGAAGTAGTTGTGTTTACATGGTTGTGTTTCGGTTTAAAGGGTGGCAGTGAATTTACAGGGTACAGAAGATTAACACCTGAGTCCTCAGAAATGGCAACGCATGGGTAGTATCATGAGCGAAATAGTACACTCTGTTATGTCCATGGTACTGTTCATGTCTATGGGCGACGGTTACCACTTTCCGTCAGGTAGGCAGCTTGTTGTTAATAAGTATACGTACTTAAAATCGCAAACGAGTTAAATGCCTACCTGATGGAAAGTGGTAACGGTCGCCTATAGACATGAACAGTACCATGGACGAACGTAATGCCCATGACACCTGTTTATGGTAAAATAAAGATTTAATAATTTATACCTGCTTTTTAGAATTTTAGACAATCATTACATTCTAATGTATTGAATTCTAATTCATTAGATCATTAATACAAACCTAAAATACCATAAACGTCTTTGTGTTTAAGGGACAATCGTGGAGAATTCCACGGAAGGTCTTAATAGAAATGTTACATTTTACAAAGCGGTCTCCGAAGAAACTGGTGTTAAAATTGTAGCCGGAACAGGATATTACATTTCCGACACATTACCGAGCAATCTACAGTTTTTACGGAAAGAAGAAATGTACAACCATATGCTGGATGAGCTAACGAAGGGTTGTAATGAAAATAGCACGATCAAAGCAGGATTTATAGGTGAAATCGCAAGTGTATGGCCATTAAGAGGTTTGTTTTATTATTAATGTTTGCGCTTGAAGCTGAGAAGTTCTTGACGAGAATAAAATACTTGTCCGTGCCTCAAGTTTTATAATAAATTAAAATAAATACAAAGGTGCGTGTAGTCTTGGCCGTTAACAAAATTTTGAATGTTTTACCTTCTAGCGGTTAAACGGTCTATGTCTATGGTTCTAATATTGCAAGTGCGAAAAATTTAACTTTTATTAAAACTTCTATAATGTCTAATCTTGAACAATTAACAATTAGTATTTAAATATTCTATTGTCAAAAAACGTTTTTGTAACTCAGTGCCTTTTACTCTTTGTTTATGCAACTTAGAATGGCAAACAAACTAGACGGCCCATCTGATGGAAAGTGGTGATGGAAAGTTTGATTGCCACGCTAAGTTGCATAAAAACAGTTATCTTTTTATCATTTAAGAGTTTCCTTTTGTCGGTGCAACCAATTCATGCATCTTCCTCCAGCCAGTTCTATCCCAGGCCATATCCTTGATCTCCCTATACGACATGACACCTAGTGTTTCCTTTATCTGTCTCATGTAGTTATATCTTAAGCCATGTTTAATATAATTGTAATATAAAAAAATATTAAAAAACAAAAAAAACAGATTCCGAACGCAAAGCGATCCAAGCAACTGGTGAACTGCAGGAGCACATGGGCTGCGGAGTCAGTTTCCACCCGCATCGTGTCGTCGAAGCCCCCTTCGAGATTATACGCCTGTATTTGGAAGCTGGCGGGAAAGCTAACAAAGCAGTCATGTCGCATTTAGACCGTAAGTTTTTTAATCGCTGATATGAATGTAAGTATTCATATTTATTTTTATAACACAAGACTTAAACGAGCATGCGGCTCACCTGATGATAAGTGACTACCGCCGCCCGTAATCACCCGCAAAAAAAATACAATAAAATTTAACTTCCATAATTTCTACCCTTCAGAGCCAAAACTTAATAAATTCGTAACTATTTGTAACAGGAACGCTGTTGGAAGATGCAAAACTTTTGGAGTTCGCTGAACTGGGCACCTACTGTCAATTTGATTTGTTTGGTATCGAGGTGTCCTACTATCAACTTAACGCAGGCACCGACATGCCATCAGATGCTCAGAGACTGGACAAAATAAAATTACTGGTCAATGAAAAAAGAGAGGACAAGATATTGATGTCTCACGACATACATACTAAACACAGATTGGTGAGTATTTTCTAAACAAGTCTGTGAGAGGCCCCTCCTCTGGGGGGGATTTTTAGTAATGGGAATTAGCAACCCTATTATTAGCAATATACCCTCACAGGTCGACGTCCTTGCGGTGCCCCCTGGATACCATCGTGATTGATTCATTAGTGAATTTGTCACTATGGACTAACTGACCTGCTCCATCTATCATCCCACACTGATGCCCCGCCAATGTATACAGATAACGCAGGCGGGCAATGTATACAGATAACAATACTATTTAAATTATTTTAATTAAAAACCCTCCTTTTCTCCATTTTAATGCCCTAACAAAGAATACTTTATTACAATATTTTTTTTGTGGGACTTTCTGGTGTGTCTAGATGCAGCATCAGCAATTTGCAGTGTCCATGTAATAAATAATAATTTATAGATTCAAGTAAAATAAGAAATGTATTCATTACTTAGCTACTCTTTAAGAGTAGTTTAAATATAGAACGACTGTTCTTAAACAATCATTCTATATTTAAATTTCTATAAATTAATAAATAATAAAACGATTTGACATAAAAAAAAAGAATTTTTCCAAGAATCATAATCCGCGTGGCCGACATTAAAAGTGGCCTGTACCTTTAGCAATTTTTTATAGCCATATATTTTTTATGTTCATATTAATCGATCTTTTCATTTCATTCTATAGATATAAATGTTATAAACACAAACAAATAAAGAAACAAACTTACTATCACGTTTTAACAGGTACTAGTAATGTTAAACGATGATAATTTATTCTTGATATTCTTCGAGATATATTTTGTATTTTAGACGGCGTACGGTGGGCACGGTTACGAGCACATACTGATCAACGTGCTCCCGCGCATGAAGACTCGTGGCTTTTCTATGGACGTCGTCAATACTATCACTGTTAAAAATCCAGCGGAATGGCTAGCCATGCCCTCACCCTGATTAACTATCAGTTCAACAGTTTATATTGTTTACCTATTTTTTTAATGTCCCAAATTTTACTTATCTTGCTCTTCAATTTATTAAGCCCGTAATGGTATCGATTCTGAAGCGCTAATTTCTAAACTTATAAATTTAAAAGAAATAAAGCTTTCTTCTTAAAATTAAACTTTGGATAATTTCGCAAAAGCACCATTTCTAACCATTATTAACTTAGTCATAAAAATAAAAAAAAAAAAACAATAAATACCTAGACATCCTATAGACCTATTTTAACTATTACAGTGTTCTGTTTACTGTCTTTCATATTGAGAAATTAATGCAAAAGAAAAAGATAAAAAAATCTAAATAAAGATATCTAAAATAGGTCTATAAGAAATTCTACTGAATAAGGGTTTACGTTCATAATACTTTGATTTAAATCTATTGAAAGTTCAGTTCATATTGGTCTTTAGAATAAAGATGTCGCTATAACACTCCTATCAATTTGAAATTTTAATTTTAGAAATAGATTAAGAATAAAAGCACTTCAGAACTGACTGAATTGTTATAATTAGTAATTATTTTCTTATTTTGCTTGTCAATTTATTATAACGAATGTCACAATTTAAATTGTAATTATTTTTTTATTTTGCTTGTCAATTTATTATAACGAATGTCACAATTTAAATTGTAATTATTTTCTTATTTTGCTTGTCAATTTATTATAACGAATGTCACAATTTAAATTGTAATTATTTTCTTATTTTGCTTGTCAATTTATTATAACGAATGTCACAATTTAAATTGTAATTATTTTTTTATTTTGCTTGTCAATTTATTATAACGAATGTCACAATTTAAATTGTAATTATTTTTTTATTTTGCTTGTCAATTTATTATAACGAATGTCACAATTTAAATTGTAATTATTTTCTTATTTTGCTTGTCAATTTATTATAACGAATGTCACAATTTAAATTGTAATTATTTTTTTATTTTGCTTGTCAATTTATTATAACGAATGTCACAATTTAAATTGTAATTATTTTCTTATTTTGCTTGTCAATTTATTATAACGAATGTCACAATTTAAATTGTAATTATTTTTTTATTTTGCTTGTCAATTTATTATAACGAATGTCACAATTTAAATTGTAATTATTTTCTTATTTTGCTTGTCAATTTATTATAACGAATGTCACAATTTAAATTGTAATTATTTTTTTATTTTGCTTGTCAATTTATTATAACGAATGTCACAATTTAAATTGTAATTATTTTTTTATTTTGCTTGTCAATTTATTATAACGAATGTCACAATTTAAATTGTAATTATTTTCTTATTTTGCTTGTCAATTTATTATAACGAATGTCACAATTTAAATTGTAATTATTTTCTTATTTTGCTTGTCAATTTATTATAACGAATGTCACAATTTAAATTGTAATTATTTTTTTATTTTGCTTGTCAATTTATTATAACGAATGTCACAATTTAAATTGTAATTATTTTTTTATTTTGCTTGTCAATTTATTATAACGAATGTCACAATTTAAATTGTAATTATTTTTTTATTTTGCTTGTCAATTTATTATAATGAATGTCACAATTTAGATTGTAATTATTTTCTTATTTTGCTTGTCAATTTATTATGATGATTATTTCTCAATTTGTAATTATTTTTTTATTTTGCTTGTCAATTTATTATAACGAATGTCACAATTTAAATTGTAACTATTTTTTTATTTTGCTCGTCAATTTATTATGACGATTATATCATAAATATAACAAAATGTCAATTATTGGATTATTGTTATTAAAACATGATTATCATTTCAACAAATATATATTTTCATTCAGTATTATTATACACACTTCGTTCATAATTTACCAGACAGCAAGGCAATACCAATATTTAATCATAATTCATGCAAGCAAAGACATTTAGTAGGGACATTTGGTACAACTACAGACATTACATATACAGGGTTAATTCTAAATAACGTCCTTTTGAGTGTTATATCAGTGTAAATAAATATTTTTAACAAAGAAACGAGGGTCGAAACACAAATAATTTTGGAGCTTCACCGAATAGACTCCGACTACTAACGGCGCTCAGACAATTTAACAGGAAACTTCTCCAAAATTTTAATTTATGAGATTTCCAATAAAGAACTTTGTATACTAATATATTCGATAGCATGTGTAGATCCTTACTTTTACGTATGATGACGTCATACACTATATGCATTATAATAAACATAGTGTGTGTTGGGGCCATTTTTATTTATTCTTAACCTAATATTTTAATGTGAGAATTTCACAAAATTACAGTTTTATGAACGATCATAAACTAAAATGATAAGTTTTGACTTGAATCTATTAGAAAATTATAAAATAAAGATTTTGCCGTAATATCAAATTGTTATTTAATTTTTAGAGGTAGGTTTAGTTACTACATTATGTATAGAATTTAAATAACCAAATTACTTGAAAATTTTTATATTAATTACGCCATATTTGCTACAGTCAAATGGATTGCAGGCAATCTACGAATGCAGGTAACTCAAAACCGTTGCTTATCAACGATTAACTACTAATACCTTGTAACTGGCATTTATAAAATCTCCTTTTGTAAGTTATTTAGAGAAATTATATTTACATCAATATATTTAGAATTGATCATAAAAATACTTTATTTATTTATTTGTTTTTGGAATAAATACAGAGTTAGGACGTTTTTTGGGTCTCTAGTAAAACTTTGTTTGTTAGAAGATATTAGCAGTTATCAAAGTCATTATGGGGAATGTATGGGGAAAATCTTTGTTCAGCAGTGGATAAGTCAAGGCTGCGATGATAATCACAATCATCATCATCATCATCATCATATCAGCATTTAACTGTCATAATAATACCTAATAATAACTGTAATGTTGATGACAATAATGGCTCATTTTTAAAAACTCCATATTAAAGTTGCATTGCTGTTTGGTACATATTTCTCATTCCCTATCACTAATCTTCAAGATCTAGATTTTGTAGCTCCTCATCTAGGTCTTCGTCTAGGAAAAGGTTCTCGTTGATGGGCACCGCGCCGCCAGAGTCCGCTGGCGCCGCCTCCGAACCTTCTGGGCCCTTGCCATTCTCTAAACTGTGGCTGAGCTGCTGTAAACGATCGTTGGTTGCTTTTGTACCAGAATCGTCCACCTGAAACAAGTATTTTTTCATGCAATATGAATATAAATGTCACTTTACATATTTTTATTAATGGTAATGGAATGATAACCTCGCCTGCGCAGGGGGGAGAGGGATTGGATTGAAGAAAAGGGAAAAGGAATGCTGACTATCAGTCCCATTGCTAGCAACAAACCCTATCCACGTCGACCTTCACGTGGTTCTATCTGGAAACCATTGTGCTGAATTCCAGGTGGATTCATCACGATGGGCTTACTGACCTGCTCTTTCATCTTACCTATTATCCCACACTGGTGCCGCGCCAGCGTGTACCGTTTTTTTAATAAGTGAAAATAGAATGGTAACCCCGCTCGCGGTAAAGGTATCCCGTTAGCACAGGTGGGGTTACCATTACACTATCAGCCATTGAAAAAAAAATCGCTTGCGCTATCGGTATACGCTGAGGGGGAACTAAGAAGAGATAATAGGTGAGAATGAAACTAGGAGAGTTAATAGTCCATCGGACAAATTCCTCAAGAATGAAGTAACTTGATTTTTCGGGAGAAACGCGCAAAGTTCGACCAGATAGGATATATTGCTAGCGATGAAACTATTCCTGTGTGGTCCCGGCATAAAATAAGTCACCCCTTCCTTTCCCGTGGGTGTCGTAAGAACCGATTAAAGTAGGGCGAGGGATGGGCAGCAGCGTCCCTCTTAAAACATCTCCAAAGCCTAACTGCGGTTGCCAATCCGCCTGCCAAGCGTGGCAACTACTGGCAAACCCCCTCCAAGGGGAGACTTATTTATGTTCAGCAGTGGACAGTTAAAGGCTGATATCATCATATCAGCCTTTAAATAATGATGCCTCATGGCGCCAGAGACTTTTTCCACGTCATAAAAAAAAACATGGAAATACTCCGCTACTCACCTCCGAGGCCTCCATGCCGATAAGTTCGAGCTCGACCTCCCGGTAGTGCGTGTTGTCCTGCTCCTCCTCGCCGTAGTTGCGCAGGTCGACGGCCTCGTCGCCGTCCGCGTCGTCCGCGTCCGCCGCCAGAGCTGGATCGAACGAGAACATCTCCCTGCCCGACAGACCGACGGCGCGGCCCGCCTTGAAGTCGTTGCGACGCTGCTCTTCCGCTTTCGTCAGTGCGTCCTGTAGTCATAAAAATACTAGCTTTCACCCGCGACTTCATTTACTTGACCTGGATATGTTATATAAATTGTATGTATGTTGTATCTTTAATTTTTTAATACTTGAATAAGTTCATATTACTCGCTAAACGATTTATTGGCTAATTGTCAATTCTAAAGTGATATAGACTGAAATTTATAAATATATTTAGAAGTAAACTGATGATAAATAAAAACACTTTACCAGAGGGAGACTTTGTACAAAAGTCGATTGCTTAGGTACCTCTGTCCCATTAGTGTTTCAACCGTGAAGCAGTTGTTTGCATGGCTATGTTTCGGTTTGAAGGGTGGGATATGGCGTGAATTTACTGAGTACAGAGGAATAATATCTGAGTCCTTAGGAATGGCAACGCATCGGGGGTATCATGGATGAAACAGTATACTCTGTTATGTCCATGGTACTGCTCATGTCTATAGGCGACGGTTATCACTTTCCATCAGGTGGGCCGTCAGCTTGTTTGCCATTCTAAGTTGTATAAAAAAAAACTGATCAGTATTAAAAACCAAGTCCTTCTCGTGTCCATACAGTGCATGTATACTAAATTACACAGTAATTGTTTAAGTTGTTGATATACATAAATAAATAAAATAAAAATATATTTTAATTAAGTAAATTTAATTATAAGCATTTTTGTATCTTCTTTTTTTTTTTAATCTACCGCCCAGTTCGAAATGCAATTTCAGCCGAGAAGAACGGTCAAGAAACACAATACAGAAACTGCTTTACGGTTGAAACACGAATGGGACAGAGGTACCCAAGCAAACAACTTTTGTACAAAGTCTCCAAAAGTGTACAAAAGTCAAAGTCTGGTAAAAGTTTTCGTGTCGTATTATATCCTAGCGTCAACCGCTCATTTTGAACCCTCAACTAATTTTGATAAAATTTCAATGGAAACAATCTGTTTTACCTTTCAGTTAAAAAAAGAATTATCAAATCGGTTTACAACTAACAGAGTTACGAGGTAACTACTTTAAAAAAAATACAACCCAGAAACCTCCTTTTTTTAAGTCGTTTGAAAACAAAGTTAAAAATACAATATATTAAAGTTATGTTAAAGGATTGGATTTCGACATTTTTTATAGAACGAAATGTTATATATCTATGTTATACAACAAAATTGATATACTATCAAGTAAATTTTTGCAACACTTACATGTTTCTCCTTGATCTTCTTCTTTTTCCATGCGAGGAATGTCTCTAGCGTGATCTTGGTCTGGTTCGGTCCCAGTGCTGCCCTCTCACGTTCAATAAGGTCGACAAGAGAGATTTCATTCTTCTTCTCTTCCAATTTCTTTTTGTCACGTTTGAGAACGAACCCTGGCGGCAATGCATGCCTGTATATACACTTCCCCCCGGACGGACACTCCCAGAACCATCCGTATTTTGACTTTTCTACAGCTTCAAGGAAATGTTTGCATATCTGTGCAATAAAAAACACTATCAGTTAGAATAGTCTTTACTTATAACAACCTTGTTATTTGCCGTTCTAGATTCTGCTAGATTTTCAAAATTGTGCAACTGAAAAAGATTGGCATTCAATTAGATAGTTATTCCATTATTCATACAAATAGCAAACCCCTTATAAACCTATTTTTTGCTACTGAACTGTTTTGTCTTTTTCTTTGATACTAAATTCAGAATTTAACAGTTTTAGTGCCATTGATTTTTAATCATATTTACTTAAATACCAAAGAAGACTTTGTCGTATTGATGTCAAGTACCCTTGTCTCTAAAAAAAACTAATTATCTAAGTATTTCCTCCAAAAATCTAATTTTAATAATTTTTCTACAGCGAACTAAACAGCGACTGATTTCACGAGCGCTATGGCGCTTGTAGCACTTTTAGTTACAATACGCACGAGCGCGATGGCGCTCGTCAGCACTCAAACGGTTAAAATACAACGACTAAATAATGTTATAGTTACAATAGGTTTGTAGAAGGTTTTTGTTTTTATGAATAACGCTATGACTATTTATTAAAAAATATTTTAATACATACACTCACAGTTTAGAAATATTGTGATTGAGAACTGTTATAAACCATAGTCACACGACTTAATTTTTTTTTTCAATGGGTGATGATGAAATAATTACCCCGCCTGCGCTAACGGTATACACTGGCGGAGCACCAGTGGGTGATGACAGGCGAGGATGAAAAGACAGGTCAGTTAGCTCATCGTGATGAACACACTTGGAATTCAGCACGATGATTTCCAGGGGGACCACGTGGAGGTCGACCTGGTTGGGTATATTGCTAGCAATGGGACTCTTAGTCTCTATTATTAACAATCCCCCCCCCCCACACGACTTGATTAGAACAACACTGTGATGTCAGTCGGTTGAGGATTTACCACAGATCCATGTGTATTAAAAAAATAGATAAACACCACTTTTTTTGTGAACCAATGTTTTTGTTCCAAATAAATTATTATTATTATTACTTTCAAGTACCAAGACTAGTCGTATGACTCTTCGAGTTATATAAAAGAATCATTATATTACAATACTTAACAGTATAATATGATAACACAATACTAACAATGTCAGTAGTTGGCCTCTGTTTGTCACCTTCTCCGTGCTTCTTCTCCACAACTTCTTTTAACTTATCCTCATCCCAATTGTCCATATTATCATCGTCATCACGCATATCCACGTAGAGAGAACGTTTTTCGGCCTAAAATAAAAAAAAAATATATAAAAGATTAAAAAGAAAATTAAACAATTTATTAAAATGAGATTGTTTAATAAAACTGTAGGTTGTATACTGAATTTCATTTATTTTTAATAATGGCAGTACTAACTAAATGCTGGTACTGCCATTGTACAACTAGCCCAGGAATGCCAAATTCTTTAATAGATAATGATGTATATAATGGAATGTAATGAGGTGACTTGGTCTGCATTAACAATATAGACTGGCTTCTCATTCACTCACACTACTACACTTTACACTCACCTATCATCCTTTACTGGTGCCCCACTAATAAAGGATGATAGATAAGGATGAAAGCACGTCAGCTGACTCACTGTGACAAATTAATAAAGAATTAACCACAATGATTTTCAAGACAATCAAGTGAAGGTCAATCTGACAGGATATATTGCTAGAAATGGGGCCACCAGTCGCCATTACCTACAATCATTGTCTCGGGAGTGCCATGTAAACTATGTAGGAGTAACATGGTTGATTACAACAAAGGAAATGGATTAAGAAATAAATTTAATATATATATGATAAAAGTAAAAGATTAATATTACCTTTCTTTCGATGGTCAAGTCGTGTGAAAATTTACACTTATCCCCTTTGGTACACTGTCCTTGCTTGAAAAAAGCACACACTACCGACTTAGGATCCGTACCTTGAAGATAAAAGAGAATCATTTCATCACATTTGTTATTTATATAAACAGAATCAACTGCTAGTTAGCGATTCAAACTATTTGCTTCATCAACAACAAAATAATTGACTATATAGATGAGTATGTGTATTTGGTCAAATAATCTCACCAACAGACTTAACTACAAAAGAGACTGTAAAAAATATAGTAAATACTTGGAAACGATTTTGGAGTTTATAAGAAATACTTAAAAACAAAATGACAAACAGCCTCAAAAAGTTAACAATTTTTATACCTGTATTTTACCAGTTCTTACATATGGTTGCCAAACCTGAGCCATTACCAAATCCCACTTTAATAAACTACAAAATTGCCAGAATGCCATGGAAAGAAGCATAATGGGGATAAGATCATCAGACAGAATTAAAACTAGCACAATTAAAAACACACACAAAAACTAAAGATGTTAAAGTCACAGTTAAAAAACTTAAATGGAAATGGGCAGGCCATGCAATTAGAGGGAAAAATAAATGGATTAAAATGATAATGTTTTGGTATACAAAAGACAAAAAAAGTGATGAGGAAGACCACATAGAAGATGGGTAGATGACATTAGGGCTAAAGCAGGTGGAATTTAGACAAAAATTTCTAGCAATAGAGACCATTGATTACAGCTAGATGAGGCCTTTGCTAATATGCAAACAGACAACAGCAATTAAATAAATAATAAATTGTTAAAAAAATTGTTGTCTTTCTAACTGAATTTTGGTACATGGTTAAATTATATCCTAACTTAAGACTGTGAAAAACAGCTCGTTAAATATAATTATACAAAATTTCACACTGATATTATGAACTTTAATAAGATTATAATACCTTTCTCAACCTTCTGAACTTGTACAGGTTTAAACAACATGGCAAGTTCCTTCTGCTCTTTCATTTTTTGTTCTTTATCTTTCTTCTTGTCCTCCATAGGCTTAGCAGGGTGGATACCTCCACTTTTCACCTGCTTCTCCACTTGTTGGATGAACTTCTGTTGTTTTGCCCCTTTCTTATTTTTGAGGCCAAATGTTTTATCCTAAAATGTGATGCAACATTTCAAATGAGTATCTCCATCAAATTTATTTTGTGAATATCTACCCTCCAAAAATAATCATAATATTGTTTGGGATACAAATTAAGAATCTGTAATTAGCTAATGTATGGTGTAAATATAATATTTTTTATTATTCTAAAATAAGCTATTAATTCCAGGTGTAATATTAAAATAAATAAAACATAGAATATGTAAAATATATTTTTAGGTTTTTTAATGAACAAATAGGTAAAAGAAAATTATTATATGTATCTGTTTCTCTATTTACTAGATGATGTATTAAAATACAGGTTTTTACTGTCATTTAGATTGTTTTTATGTATATAAGGTTTATATATATATATATATAATTATTACAAAGTTGGAGTAGATTGCTGATTTATTAATATTCTTTACTGACAAAAAATTCATGAGGCAAGAAAAAAAATAGAAGAAAAGCAACATATATATATATCCCTTTCTTTAAATTGAAACATTATTAAATAGAAAATGAAACAGTTATCATCTTCTCATATTCTTGTTGCTTTTCTTCTATTTTTTTCTTGCCTCATGAATTTTTTGTCGGTAAAGAATATTAATAAACCAGCTATATATATATATATACATTATAATTCTCAAAATTGGAAACGTATGATTGGTGCTAAGAGCATCACCATGTAAGCATTGCCATGTCTATAGATAATGGTTCAGGTCTATAGATAATAGTTACCATATATAGTTACAGCATATAAAAAAATATTGTACATTCATCAATTTCAAAACAACTATATCTTTAATTTTTTTCTTAATGTAAATAATGTTAAACACATTCAATTTAGCAGGTGGTGGTGCAAATATTACAATCTTGTGAACCAAGTTTCAAACCACTCTACTGCAATTGTTGTTGATAAAATAAAAAAATTTCGTTGTACGAACCTCAATAACTTTCTCCTTCTTTTTCTGCTCCGTCTTCTTGCTTGCTGCGTTAGGTTTCTTAGGAGGCATGGTTAGGTTTTTATTTTACTTTATATATAATAATAAAGGGCACGATTTTATTTAATGTACCCCACGTGTATATTATAAACAAAATGTTTATTTATCTATAGTCAAATTCTGAGGAATTACAGAAAATAAGAACAAACATGAATACGTTCAACACGTCGAATAAGAAAAAAATTGAGAAATTTGAGAAACACGATTCCACTTAACACCACCAATGTCATAATATTGTCAAATTTGACGTCTACGTTGCTATTTTTCTTTACTTTTTTTTCTATAGATTCAAATAGATAATTGTTGAGTTACCAGCGCACTATCCTTAATCTATGTCTTAAGAGAAAGAAAAGAATATTAACCTTTATCTATGATCATAAGTCACTTTGACTTTGAATGCTTACATTTGACGACATTAAGCCTTAACTGACAGTATGATTAGAGATAAACACAAAGCAAGCTTGCATCACGAAAAACCAAGTAAACATAAAATCAATGTAACCATCTCAACAAAGTATCATTAAAATAAAAAAAAGATGTTTCATTATTGCGATTTAACTATATTATAATATGCAACTTATATAGGAGATACATATATTATGCATATATGTATCGCCTATATAAGTAAGGAATAAATAAATAACAAAATTTTGCAAATATGGAAAACGATGATTTCACATGCTATATGTTATAGCGTGAAAATTATGAAAATTTTGAGCAGAAGCAATCAATCGACTTTGCTTGGGTACCTCTGTCCCATTCGTGTTTCAACCGTGAAGCAGTTGTGCTTGCATGGCTGTGTTTTGGTTTTTTTTAATGGATAATAATTGATTGTTAATAAAGGGGAAGTTAGTCCTCATTGCTATCAATATACCATATTAGGTCCACCTCCACGCGGTTCCCCCTGGAAACTATCGTGACTAATTTATCGTTAATTTCCTCACCATGGGCTAACTGACCTGTCTTTTCATTCTCACATATCACCTCTCATTGGTGCCCCGCCAATGTATACCGATAGCGCAGGCGGGGTACCCTCTAAAATTAACCACGATAGTTTCCAGGGGAACCGCATCGAAGTCGACCTGATGGGATGCATTGCTAATAATGGAAAAATTAGACCCATTCGTGTCTTTACCGTGAAGCAGTTGTGCTTGCATAGGTGTGTATCGGTTTGAAGGGTGAATTTACAGGGTACAGAGGAATAACACTTATATTCTGTACAGTATACTCTGTTATATCCATGATACTACTTATGTCTAGGGACGGTTACCACTTTATTTCAAGCAGGCCGTCAACTTGTTCGCCATTCTAAATTGCATAAAAAAAAGAAGTATTATAGATACTAGTACAAAATTACAAATATTATTCAGATGATACTATTTTTACTATATAGTTTATGGATAATTTTAGATGGTTGCATGGATTGAATTTTCTAAGTTCAAACTTAAAGAACAAGAGTAGTGATGACGTTCTCTCTATCAGTCAGTGTAGGTACTTGCTTACTTCTTATAGGTCGTATTGTAGTTGGTTGAAATATTTAGTTGTATTCGTTTGTATCGTACTAGACTCTTAGACGATATTCATGTTTTTTTTTTTTTAATTCTTTTCTATGCTCACTTAAACTGATAAAAAAGATTCCCGTGCCGAACGAGTAATGTAATAATAAAGAATTGCTGAAAGTAGACCATGGCGAGTGACAACTCATATGAAAGTACAACGAGCGCTTTCAAATAGACTGTTTTTAATTCAACTATTAAACATAACAATGGAAATAATAGACGTCGAGGAATGTCAGCCTGACCCGAACGCCGTTGCAAGAAAGAAGGGTTTATGGGCAAAAATCAACAATAGGACAACGTACAGTTATTTATTTAATATTGTTGTATCAATTTTGTTGCTCACATGTTTAGTACTGGTGCTGTACTTCTTCAAGGAGTATTTGAACACTATCTTATTATGGGTGGACGCTCAAGACCCGTGGATAATATTTTTATTGTGTCTAGGACTATTTTTGCTAGTGAGTTTTCCAGTGACTATCGGATACTTAGTGTTAATTATTACAAGTGGTTATTTATTTGGTATTATCAAAGGATTGGGTACCGTTGTGGCGAGTGCTAACTTCGGTGTGGCGGTGGCGCATTACACTCTTAGAGCTTTGCGCCAGTACCTACCCCTGGACTGGCTCCTCAACAATGAAACAGCCAGAGCTCTTCTCAAAGTGATCTCTGGTCCTCAAGCCTTCAAGATAGTTTTCTTTGCAAGACTCACTCCAATACCTTTTGGGTTGCAGAATACAATTTTTGCTGTAAGTAATTTTATAATTATACCAATTAAAGCATAGATAAGATAACAATATGTGTAAGTTATAGAGAAAAAATATTATTCAAAAGTTCATATTAAGTATCTGTCTCTCTTTATGTCAGGATTATGGTATGATCTACCTCATAATCAATGTATGATATTAAAAACAATAATAATATATTTTTTTTTTTTTATCTTTTTTAATGAATATTTGCAATATCACAGATTACAAATGGTTCAGAGATCTTATGGCTGTTTTAGTATCAAACAAAATTATCTATTTTTTTATTTTAACATATTTAGTGTCTAAATTTGTCATTCTTTTTTAAATAACAGCACATAAAATACATAGCTGAAAAAAGTGTTAATTGATTATTACTTATTATTAAGAACTTTTTTGTTTTATTTTTAAATTATAAATTAATAAAAATACATAACTACAAATATTGTTAATGAAATATATGCCAAGAATAAAAAAAAAAAAAATAGAATTGGGTAAAATTATATTCAAGTTCTAAATACAAGAATGTCCAGTAACCCTTTTTGAGTAAATACCTATTTATAGCAACACCCCAGAAGGTCAAGGTAACACAAATACTAGCAGAAACTTGATGCATGTAACCTTCATACCAAATTCATGATTCTTATCAGACAGACACTGTTACACTTTGTAATGTTTTAACACTTTCAAGAGATATGGGAGTGTTTAAATTCTTTTTAATTATTATCTATTGTAATAATGATATTTTTCATCAGTAACTTCATTCATAAAGTATTTATTTCATAATGAGTGATGGTACAATACACATAAAGGATACTCACCTATACATTAAAATATAACATGTCTTATGTTTAGTCAGACAATTTTTTTACAATTTATTTTTTATTTAATTGCTATTGTCTGTTTGCTTGTTAGCAAAGGCTCCAACTGCCTCCAATGGCCTATTGTTAATGATTCTTGTCCAAATTCCACCTGTCCTCTTCTACCTCTTCTCCTTTTCTTGTTGTTTGTATATCAAAACAATATAATTTTACTCCATTTATCTTTCCCTCTTATTGCATGGCCTGCCCATTTCTGTGACTGTAACATCCTTAGTTTTTGTGTGTTTTTAATTGAAAAAATATTTCAGTACTTACCTACAGTATGATAAGGAAGTTGCAAAATATATTTATTTATTTATTTTACACTTTATTTGAAAAAAAATACAGTAAATATTAATGAGAAGTGACATAAAAGGCAATCTTATCTTTAAGCAATCTCTTTCAGACAACCTTTGCGTAGGGGATATTGAGAGAAAGGCTAAATATACCACTAGAAACTGTTATTTTTTTAATAGATCAAAACAGAATAATATACTCATCTTCTTTATTGGTTTTTTAATAGATAAGAATGAAATATTTACTCAATTTATGCTATATATAAAGGGAAATTTTATGAACTTATTGTGTTTGTTGTTTCTAACAATTATTTCAAGATCATCCAGGTGTCTTCTTTAGGAGTTTTTTTAAAAGGGAGATAATAGAATAGTGTGCGCATTGTTGTGCTAATGGTATACACTGGCAAGGCACCATTGAAGAATGATAGGCGAGAATAAAAAGGCAGATCAGTTAGCCCATGGACTATTAGTTCCATTGTTAAAAATATACCTTGTCAGGTACTTATCAGAGGAAGACTTTGTACAAAAGTCGATTGCTTGGGTACCATTCGTGTTTCTACCGTGAAGTAGCTGTGTTTGCATGGCTGTGTTTCTGTTTAAAGGGTGGAATATGGCGTGAATTTACTGGGTACAGAGGAATAACACCTGAATCCTCAGGAATGGCGACGCATGGGGGGTATTATGGGCTAAAATAGTATACTCTGTTATGTCCATGGTACTGCTCATGTCTATAGGCGACGATTACCACTTTCCATCAGGTGGGCCGTCAGCATCTTTGCTATTCTAAGTTGTATAAAAAAAAAACTTGTCAGGTCAACCTCCATGTGATCCCCCTGGACACAAACACTCAATGGCTATAAAAAAAAGCATATTTAGTGCTGGCTACTGGATTACTGACTTATAACATCATTGAATAGTCTCAACTTAAGAGAGGAGCTTGTTTGGCCAACTCTGTTCTTCTGAGGGGAAGGGATTATTAGTAATGTAGACTACCAATCCCATTGCTAGCAATATACCCTAACAGGTCGACCTCCACGCAGGTCCTCCTCCTGGAAACCATCATGCTGAATTCCAGGTGTATTCATTAGGATGGGCTAACTGACCTGCCTTTTCATCCTCACCATCCTACTCATCCTCCCTCACTGGTCTCTCGCTAGCATATGCTGTTAGCGCAGGCGGGATTGCCCATTATCATCCATTAACAGACCCGCAGTGACTATACTGCACCCCATTGAGAATTTTTTATTGGAATAAAAATAGAACGGTAACTAAAATGCAGGCAGGATTGCTATTTTCTACCTTAAAAAAAACGGCATAAATATTAACTTACACACTCTATCTCTTATCTCTCTATTGTTATGAGGTCCTGGCATAAAATGTACCACCCTTTCCATTCCCGTGGATGTCGTAAGAGGCAAATAAGAGGAACTTATTGGTCGAGGGATGGGCAGCAGCATCCCTCTTATAGGCTGCTCACGTAATCCTGGAATGTAAGGCTATGGCCCATCAATGTTTAGAAATCCTCGGAACGGTGGGGTCGCTCCGTAAGTCCTGTGAAGAACCCAGGAAGTTTCTGCGCTTCTGGGCGGAGCTAGGTTGGCTGTACTAGCCACGATTCATACGCACAACGGCCCAAATGAGAGGTTAAGCGCGGAAAATAGAGTCTTTTTCACATTCACATTCATCCTTCTTATAACATCACCAAAGATTGTTAGTAGTGAGATCCAACAGACCTGTTACTAGCAATATACCCTAGCAGGTCGACCACCACGCAATTTCCCCTTAAAACCATAGTGGTTATTTTATGATGAATTCATCACGATCGGCTAACTGACCTGCTTCAATGACCCCACCAGCGTATCCTGATAGCGCAGGCGAGATGACCATTCCATTTTCATCCATTAAAAAAAAAGTAACTGCGGTTGCTAACCCACCTGACAAGCGTAGTAATTATTGATAAAACCCCCTGATATCATATCATATCTATGCATAGATATATAGATATCTATTTATTCAGCCTGATTTCATCGAGCGCTAGTTAGTTCTCGTGCCACATATCAAGGTGTTTTTTTTTTCTCTTTCACGGTCATCGTGTGTATCACGCACGATACTGTGCTAACCTCGTCGGTTACATTGTTGAGTTTCCGTTACCATTAGTATGCGTGGGACCACTGATATTTGGTGCGGTACGCAGAGCTGGTCATCTCTAGGCAAAGGTTTCTATGACTTTTCAACCGACTTTAAAGAGACGGAGGTTCTTAATTCGGTTTTTTGTTTGTTACCTCATAACCTCTTCAATTTTAAACCGATTTGGAAAATTCTTTTTTTTTTTTATCTGAAGGGATATACTCAAGATTGGTCCTATAGAAATGCTATCACAATCGGTGCAGTAGTTTAATTTTTAAATCAAACTAACGCGTTTTGTTACTATTGGAGTCGGTTTTTTTTTTTTTGTTGGATACAATCTTGACAGTAGTCAATTATTTTGTTTATATGAATCAATGAATGAATGAGTATACTTTATTTGCATTATACAATATAGGGAATAAGCAAGACAATTTACAAACTCAACGATACAATTGTATAAGTACAGTAAGGCGGTCTTATTGCTGAGAGCAATCTTTTTAAAACAATCTTAAGGTAATGGACTAATTGTTGTACAAGTATGTATGATAGTACTGTATAATTTTATATGTGTGTCGGATACGCATACAGTATAGTAATTTTACTAATATAATATAATAAATCCGAAAGTTTGTAAGGATATATGGATGTATGTTTGTTACTCCTTTACGCAAAAACTGCTGAACGGATTTGAATAAGACTTGTTACACGAGTAAATTATATCCTACCTTTGCATATAGAATACTTTATATACTGATTCGCACGGGTGAAACTGCGGAATACAGCTTTTGGTACCCGGGTAGCTTATATCCTGTTTTAGCGCAAAGGATGTTTTATGTATTTTATTTATTTATTTATTCTTTATTGTACACAAAAAATTACAACTTATAATATATATAAAATAAAGATGTACAACAGGCGAGCTTAACTCTGTAAGAGTTCTCTTCCAGCAAACTCTGAGTGGAAAGGAGCATTAATTATTAGCGGGCAATATGCGTACAATAATAGAAGAAAACATTATAGATGTTTCTATTAAGAAATAATAAATATGTTTAAGATCATTTCGATTTCGGAGATTAAAGTGAACAAACATGGTAACACGGAATTTTTATGTATTAAGATTAACAAGTACATGTACGTATATATGTATATATAATACATAACATAAATACTTTTAAATCGTCCTACATTCATCGTTGTGGTACAAATTTGTATTATTTCAAATATGTAATTTAAATATCAATTGACAGGTAGAGATAACAATGAATCAAAATAACAGTAATTGTATGTAAATCGTTGACAACAAATGAAATAACTCAATCACCGTAAAGCGTACGTAACACGTTCACAGCATCGTTCGTAGTGTGTTCAATTGTGCATGCCAATTAACTATAATACCATCGTAATGGCCTGAATTTGCCTGAACGTACGCGCGTCTGAAAAAAGAGTATTAGATTTTTTTGTTATGGATATTTTTTTTTAACTTTTTTTTAGATTCCCCTTATATTTCCCCCTATAGGGTATACATTCCATGTTAAATTCCAGGCTTGTTACTGTTGAGATTAATACGCAATATGGATGATATTGGAATGGTAACCCCGCCTGCGCTATCGGTATACGCTGAACGGGGCACCAGTGAGGGATGATAGGTAAGGATTAAGCGGGTCAGTTAGCTCACCGTGACGAATCTAACAATAAGTCAATCACGATGGTTTCCAGGGGG